AGGGCTACCGTGATATTGTTGTAAGGTTCGTAAAGGCGGGTGAAAGAATAAGAAGTGCATATTATGAGAATATGTCAGGTAGATAATGGTTGACCCTAGATTTGAAAGGGTTAAGATTGTAGTGATTAGGAAAGCATCCTCTACAGAGTCTGTTCTACAAAGTAAAAATTCTAGGGAAGAATCAGTCTGCATGGAACTTCTTCTTTACAAATGGAATACATATGGTATGATGATGAGTCGACCATGTGTACGTGGCATGGTGGGTTTTAGCTATGATGGTCTCAAGTGGTAGAACTAAGGAATTGTCTAAATATTTAATATGAAAATAGCAACGAGTGCCTAGGATGTGCGAGTCTATCACGCACATACATACATACATACATAGATACATACATACAAATACAAATCACATACAACGCCAAGCATCCATTGGTTAATTAATCACTACTACGTTATTATAGACAATTTACAAATCGCAGCAATGCGACAATATTGTAATCGCTCTATTTTCATGTAGTCAGTTTTGTGCACTTTTGGGAGAAACGGATCACAGAAGCTTTCTTAAGACTCCCCAAAGCTCGCTCGCTGATTGGTCTATGCCAACCAATCGGATCGTCTGTACGTGAAGAATAATTCTTCCCGCGCAGCCATCTGGAGCCTACGGTCATTTATTTAAGCAAGAACTTTTTTTAGCTAATTAGTGGGAATTCAGCTGCCAAACGAATCCACGACAGTTGAAACCATGCGCCGACCTTCTCACTCAGACACACCACTTAAATGCCGAACATACCTTGTATATACTCACATAATCTTTTCTTACACAGCAAAAGCTTACAAGTACAAATTACATTCTTCCAGTGAACTTGAAACACTAAAATAACAGTTAAAGAAAGACAACTCTTGTTTTATTCAACCTTTTCTTACTTAAATGCACGCTTTCTTTCGCATTGTTGTTTGATATTGTAGATCTTGTTAAATACATATTTTATGTGCAACTATGTCTTTTGGTTATCCTTTTCTGCGTCAGCCCTGTTTTCTAATCTAAAGTTAAATTAATGTGTTGAAGTCTGCCACAGTAACATCTCGTCTGTGGGAAAGAGTTTGTAAGGTGGAAAGTATTTAATACCCACAAGGTCGTGTGAACTCTTTTGAACTCTGTCAAGACTGGAAAGTGAAGATTGGACAACTCCAGACAGGATGACAGCAATATAACATTCTTGGCCGGATCTAACGCATGTAAAATTAAGTAGATTTAGGTATTTTCTTGAGTGATATAAGGAACTGATACTTCATCCAACATCTTTAGCGATGGTACGAATACACGAGCTTCATTTGAGGTCTGGAGTTTACAAATATTAAAAAAAAAAAAAAAAAGAATCTGTGGAGAGCCATGATCACCTAAAAGTCCTGAAGAGAAATGGCACTTAAGGAGAAAGGATAATAAATATAAGAGAAACATTGTTTTCGTTTGATAATTGTTCAAAGGTATAAAAAAATACAACAGTAAAATGGGCACAAATTAGAAAAAATAAATCTGAATGCTTAAATTTAAAAATAAAAATAAAAATGCTTGAATTAAAATTAAAAATCTTCAGTCACTGAATAAAAGCTGATTTTTTAAAGATAGAATTAAAATAAAATAGAAACTTGTTCATATTTTGCATTTAGTTAATTAAAATTAATTAACTGAATTAATTAACAATATTAAATTAAGTAACAATTCTAAAAAAAAAAAAACATTCGCAACAACTAATTAATATAAAACGTGAAAAGCTTTATTTAAATTTTTTAAAGTGAAAATATTGATGTTTTATAGTAAACATTTTTTATTCGAGAAGGAATTACCTCCCTTGTTATGTAGTGCCACATTTTTCTTTCTAAAATTATTTTTCGTAATTAATTTTTAACTAATTTTTTTTTTTCGGCTTTCTTAAGGTTTACATTTCTACCTTGTACAACCGTTAATACAAACAGCAGGATTCTGAAACAAATAAATAATTACTAATAAGACTTATAATCACATGAAAAGCAACAAAACTTAAATTTTAATAATTACCTCCCTTGACGCTAGAAGCAAACTTTTTTTCCCGAAGACGCTTTTCTTAATTCTGTTCAAATTTAGGATTAAACTATTTTAAATTACTTATAATATTTTATGTTAAGCGTTACTGTTCGAATATATCAATAGGTGAACAAATTAAAACCTTTTTTCTGCTCATAACTCTGTCTTTCTTGTATTTAATAACTTTTACAAACTTACCGTAAAGTTTTCCATTTTGCGAAACGAGAAAGATTTGTTGCTTAGCAACACTCACGTGCGACGAAAAAAAACAACAAATTTACTTATTCGTCAGAAGATAAAAAAAAAAAAAACACCATAGTCACTTTGTTTAAAAGAAATTTAAATCGAAGTATTATTTTTCTCTCGAGCTCATATTGAGATCAAAAAATCTTTATTCGTTTTTACTTTTTATTTTTAGGCATATTCACAAAAACATCATTAAAGTTTATTATTTATTATTATTTTAAAAAGTAAAAACAAATTGCAAATTGGGTATTATTGTTTCCTATTCTTGTTGCTGCAGAAAACGTAATGAATGACTACGTATCCAAGGGCACCACTTTTTTGAAATGTGAGCCTCAGGACGTCGTTTATTGACAAAGTGCTTGAGGGACAACTTTTAGATTTGGGACCTGCGTAAAAAAATAAACGCTCCCGACGTTGACAATTTTCAAAGTATTTTATTTTTAAACATATTACCTTTTCTTACTTCATTCGATACTCTGCGTGGGTTTTGGTCTCTCTCTATATCGCGCTATCTTTCTGTCTCTCTCTCTCTCTCTCTCTCTCTCTCTCTCTCTCTCTCTCTCTCTCTCTGAGTGAGTACTTCTGAGGACTGCTGTACAATTTCATTACATATATTGCACAACTGTGACAAGAAGAATATACAAAATTATTTGTTTTAAATTCTTGTTTTCTTTCTTTTTAAAAAATAAATTAAAAATTATAAACTTAATTTGTACAATTTTGCTTTTGAAGTAGAACAACCATTACTCAGAGAATGTGTCTGTGTGGTAGAAATATTGTAAAATAAATGTTAAATAAATTTTTAAAAAGTTGGATATAAAAGTAAAAAAAACGTTTCAAAATATTAATTTTATATAATAAACACTGATTTACACTTTTCTTATTTTTCACAATTTTTTATTTCAATATTATAATCAGTTTTTAATGTTCTCTCTTTGGATTTAAACACGAAAACACGGAATAAAATGAAAAATGTTATCTTTCCGTTGACAAAATAAAATAAAAGTAAATAAATTAATTAAAAATAAATAAAATTGCTAAATATTCATTCAATAATTTATTTAGCAATTGTACTTTGTTTCAAAACTGTGTTTTTTTTTTAATGATGGATCGAGACAATTGAAGACTGCTGAAATGTTGTGAGTGTAGACTTGGTCAAAGCTCAAAACTCAAAACAAAATAAAAAAAAAAATTAAAGGAAGAATATCTCATAATATAGAGTTACTTTCAAAAAAATAAGAGTGGAGTATATACAGATACTCCACTCTAATTATTATTTTTAAGTAACCTCATATTCTGAGCTATCATTCTTTTAATAATTCATTTTTAAATCACTGTCTGTACTGTAAATTTAATACCCGCAACAAAAAAAAAAAAAAAAAAAGTTTGACAGAACAAAAACAAAATTAATTTCGGTAAGCTTATTTTTTTCCAAATAAATTAAATTAAATTTGATATTAAGAAAAACGTAAATAAATAGCAGCTATCGCTATTATTTTATTTTATTTAAGTATGCCTCAAAATCTTATTTTTTAAACAAGGCTACAAAACAAAGTATTGCCCTCGGTGCGATTCGATCTCACTGCTACTTGTTAATGTTACCTTAGCCATGATCTGTGAGACTAGCTAGAAGTGAATTCATCGTTCTATTTATGTGTGTCCATCGGATCTGAGTCAGTATGCTGAAACAAACTGCTGGATATGGCGCGGGGCCGTTTAATTGGTGGAAATTGCTTATTATATTCTTTTTATTTCTTTTTGATTTTCCACCGGAACTTATGCGTCGAGCCTGGTGCGCAAAGACCAGTATTGGTCATTTGCTATCTAGACCTCTGAGGGTTAACATCCGGTCCTTCGCTTGCTCAGTACCACCACAAGCTAACCAAACAATGCAATGTAGCGACAGATATATTTATTTACCCAGCCGCCGGACTAAGGCAGTACATGACACAAGGTCGTTTTTAAATGTGGAGCCCGTACACATAGGTATGCCAAATAGAAAAATTACCGTTCCCGACCCCACCTCTTTTAGTGGAATGAGGAAGGTTCTGCAACCGGGTTTGAAATCCACGGGACTGGGCACCTTCTCCCATCTAAAATCAAAACAGAACTCTACATCCGGCCAAAAGCGAACTCCAGTGCTTTGTCTTGAAGACGTACAGGACTCAGTTTTGATGTGACTTGGCTTCCCTTTGTCTTTTCTACAAAATGTTTTCATGGCTCTGACAAGCTTTTTCTCCTAATATCCCGACTACATGATAATGTAACCGCTACTTCTACTCCAACAGTTTCTTTTCTCACACTTCCCGCCTGTGGAATTCCCGTCCGTTTTTATTTGCTTCCTTGATAACTACAATCATCAAAAGTCTAAATGCAATGTCAATCGCCATCTTCTATCTTCTTAAATGCCGTCCATTTTTTATCCTTTCCTCAATCCCCCTATACTCAGTCTTTTCTCTCACTTTCGCTCTAAACCCCTGCGCACTAGTGGCATTTCCGCCTTGCTTGGGGTGAAATGATTGAAAAAAAAAGTTTGTCATGAATAGTCAGAAAACAAATCAATCAAATCCAAAAGTGATTGCAGTGTTATCTTCTCTTGTTTACATTATCTTTTGTTTTCTACCACTGGCGTCGCTGCTGTTTGTTGTCATTGGCAACCAAGTAACACGAAAATCATTTGGAAATTAAGAGAATGGCGGACATTAAACTGAAAAGTGCCTATGAAATCTACAAGCACAGAAATAAATGCCTTCTTCATAACTGGGAAGAAGAGGTAAGATCATAACGAAAATAAGATGGGTCTACTAATAATTTTTGTTTTCTTTTTTAGTGTTTTCTTTCTTCTTTATTGTTCATCAAACGATTTATGCCAAAAATACTGGTTTACTGCTTTTTCATTCTCCTTTAACTTTTTGGAACTTGTCTTATTCTAAGCCCGGCCTACCTTTGGATTTTGAAAAGCTGTATGCCAGAAATTAAACTTAAAGATGCAATAATTCCTTCTTTTTATAGATAAAAACTGAAATTTAATCTCCTTTCTGAATTTAATAAATGAATCTTATTTATTTAGTTTTTTTTTTTTTTTTTACTAAATAAAAATAAGGAATAAGGATTTCAATCTACATAGAAAGAGGCCGAATAAGCTCACAGGCATCCCCCCCACCACCACCACCAAATCATTGATTTAGACTTCTGGTAGCATTTTCTCTCTCTACTTTCTTTCATGATAAAATTTTTTGGGTTTTTTTCTCTAGCATCATGCTATTTTTGCTTTATTTTGTAATGCTACTTGGAAAGATTTTTAAGGGCTCAGTATATATGACAACTCTATGGTAAGGATAGGATTTTGTGGAGAGCCATGGGCGCTATTACACTTTTGCATCCCTCCCCCAGCTACCATGTTTTTCTTGCGACAACAGATAAAATTCCCTGGCAATTTGAAGCCAAAGGTTGGAAAAAAACAAATCACCAGACCTTTGACCCACATAAATTCCACCAGGTATTCAGAACTCATCCCCCTGTTGGTGGGGCCATATTACTTTTCACCTTTGCATTTCAGCAGATACATTTAAAAATTTGATCTCTCGTAGAAATCCACATTTTTGCCCACTTGTGGAAAAACGCCATGAGACTCACATACATGTACGTACGCACATTCACCAAAATACAAACTCTTTATGTTCACACACAAACACATGTTAATGTCTATGTCCATTGTAAACCTTGTTGTTTAATACATATATTTGTTGATATATATATATATCGGTCTTGTTTGTTTTCTTTACCTCCTCGGTTGGACTCAACTTGAGTCCACCATGTTCTTGTAGTTGGACCTTCTTCTAGCAGAAATAAACAGCACGTGTTTCTAATTCAACAACTCTCAAACCCACACGGTCCTCTACAGGCTAAATGTAATGCTTAACAAGATAAACTAACAGATTAATATAATCAAGATAATCTCACAGTGTTGGAAGTGTGATCCTCACTAGGTGCCTCTAGTATAGCCAAACTGCCAAGATCAGAAAACTCTCATAGAAAATGAGAAGTAACAACACACCTAATAACATGGCGGACTTAACTGCACAAGTTATATTTGTATATTACTGTAAATTCAACATTGATTTTCAAAAATTTAAATGCAATGTCAATCATTAACTTGTTTTATTGTCTTCTCTCCTTAATAGTTGTTTTTCTTGTATTCTCTACCACTCAGTAACCCCTTGCATACTAGTGGCTTTATTGCTTTGTTTGGAATGAAATGATTAAAAATAAACTGAGAGAATGTTTGCCTGACAACTACAATCTTGATCTCTTAAAGTCCAGGGTCAACTGATATCTGTCCTACACATCCTCATAATATTCACATTTTAATTCCACCTTTCTTACAACAGTCTCTCCCAGTAACTCTCTATCTTGAGTGGCTCTTGGTCCTTGCATTGGGTGAACTATCAGTAAAAAAAATTCTTTTGTCAACCTGGCGTTGTTCATCACAGTGTAACGGGTTGAACAGCCTCAATTTAACCTGTACTAACAAGGAATAAGTAAACAAGAAGAATAACATTCAAAAAGAGAAGTTGTATACTAAAATAGAATTTATATATACACAACAACTGATATAATGGAATATGCGTACACCTGTGTTCCCCCTCACTGGAATATGATTGGCTGGTGTCTGTCATAAATATCAATGGATGTGTAGTTGAGTCAGAGCTTAGTCTGAGAGCTAAGCCTATAACGATGCCCATTGGACTACGCCATTGATCTACACTTTTTACCTGCGACTACGACACGTACCAGTCGATTACTGCTACCGTATTCTACTTGGTTATAGTAGCCAAAACCACTTAGCTACTTCGTTCAAATATATCCCTTTCCGGGACATATCAGAAACAATTGTACAGACAGTAATTCAGCTGTTTAAATGCTGAAATTTACTTGTCCTTGGAATTTTGAAGGAGGAAAATATTCCTGTTGGTAAACTGTGATGTGCGTAAAAAAAGTGTGTGAGTTTGGAGAAATTTAGTAAGATGTATTGTTACTTGTAAGAGAATTAAACAGTTCGTTACTCACAATGTTATGTTAAGTGTTTCTGTCCTTTGGTTGAAGGAGTGAATGTTCGTATATGTTTGTATGTACGTGGGTGCATCATGAAGTTTCTTCTAAGGAAAAAAACACAACCTCTCCACTGAGTGACATTTTGTATGTGAAAAAAGGCAAGAAAAAAAGAGGAAAAATGAAGATTGTATCAAAGTATTTATAATTAATGTGAACCGCGTGGTAGGTTCCAAATTGCTTGGTGCAATTTGTATTTTAACTCAGGTCAAAAACTAGGTTGATTTGATTCAGACGTAGTTGAGAACAGGTGAAATGTATTTTTTAATATTTGTTAACCAATCAGAAACAGACTTAAATGAAATCTTTGTGATCCACTTTTTTGCACAAAATTTACCTTTGCAAGAAACTATTACATAGAAAATGCATTGAAATATTTTTTGACCAATAGAATTCGCTGAATTGAAAATAATAATAATATAATACAATCAAATGGAAGCAGAATGCTAAAAACCTATAGAGTTGTATCTTCAGATAAGCTTCTGGGATCCACTTTGGTGTTTAGTTTACACAAAATTTGCCATTGAAAGAAACTATTACATAGAAAATGCATTGAAATATTTTCAACCAATAGTATTCACTCAATTGAAAATAATAATAATATCCTACAATCAAATGGAGGCAGAATGCTAAAACATTGGCTCGCAATTGTAGCCATATTCAAAAGTAAACTTAGTAATTAATATTTTAAGGTACTTGCCATGGAGCAATAATTAATCTCATTTACCAACCATTTGTTTGTATGCCTCTATACCAAGCTTCAAATTTAGAAAATATCTACTACTATTTTATTGCTTAAGGGTGTTGGTGTGGATATAAGACCTATTTGATTTGCTTAATTGTTTATTTTAACAGAGTGGATAAAGGAACTTTTTACTAATTTTTATTTCATAGTTGTCTAAATTTTCATCATATTTCTCTTGCTTGTTTACATCTAATAGCAATAAGATATAATATTGTTAAGTTTTCTGAACTTTTTAGATGAAGCCTTCTCATTATTTTTAATTTTTGATTATGTTTTTACTTTGTCTTAATTCTGTTGCTTTTCACCACCACTCTTAGGTTCTTTTTACTAAAAAAAAATAAGCATGCAATGTGTAGAAGACAACTTATGTGCCATAAGAACAAATCTGTACAAAATGTGGATAACGGTACAAAAAAAGTTTGAATTGCAAAATTCTTCTTTTCTGAGCAATGACCACAATGAGCCAATCAGTTAGCATCCTGAGTGAATGCATAAATGAACATCCGTGAAAACATCATGTGCTGTTTTCCAAGGAAGAAGGAAAAAATGTAAATGCCTACCAGTAAAAGAATAATACTACAAGATATGCTTAAAACAATGTTCCATGAGTTGGCCTATCCGAAAGAAAAAAGGCGTGCATGCCTGTTGCATAAATGCTCATTGTCAGCATGAGTCTTGAAGGATATGTAAATTCTGAATGAGATTTGTGTTGTGCTATGCAAATTAGGTTCTATAAAACAGTTTTCTTGATTGCAGTTGAGGAGTTTGTCTATGAATTCTTAAATTGCATGGAGAACAAATTCTTGAGATTTTTTTCTTAATCAGCATCACTCCAAGCAAAGGCAGTAGTAGACTCACTAACATGCAAGTGGTTACAGAGTGTGCAGGAATTAGGAGCCAGAAGGGAGTTCCACAAATTAGAAGTGCAAGAAAAGAAACTCTCAGTATAGAAGTAAGGGTTACTTCTAGCTCACTCAACTGTAAATTGATGAGACCTTGTTGCCAGTCTCGTACCGTGCTTAAATTCATAAAGTCTAGGTACCATAGTGAAGAGCTTATCTGAACAAATACCATGAAAGTAATTTGGAATTAATTTCTTTGAGTTATTTTTGCCCTTACTTCTGTTGTGTAACGGTGTTAGTACATCCCACAAAATGTTTAATATCTAAAAAAAAACACTAAACTAATTGAGTTTCTTTTTTCCAGGTTTTTAGATAAGATGTTTAGTCATTTTGACACCATTTTTCATAAGAATCACTGAAAAACCCTTTGAGTTATTCACATAAAAAGAGAGCAGGTTAAAATTGTTTTGTGTCAGACCCACTGTCTTACCAAGTGTGCAATGATGAGAGGAAAAAGATCATTCAGGCCTTCAGTAATGGTACCAACATTCCTTCTCTGGCTTCCATCTTTATAGGCCATAGAACCATCAAGAGAATGGTGAATAAGTTTAAAAAGGAGGGAATGGTAGAGAGGAAAACTGGATCAGGAGGTCACAACAGGAAGAGGGATCATCATTTCAACTTAGAGCTAAAGAGATCAATTAGAAAAGATCCAACTTAATTGATAGGATGTTTGGCATGTGAGAGAAAAGTTTCAAGTATGACACTCCAAAGGTCAGTGAAAAAAGACTTGAAAATGAAATCGTACATGAAACCTGTGAAGTTCCTTCTTACTCCATGACAGAAAGTTAAAAGGTTAGAAAGGGCAAAGATAATCTTGAATAAGTTGGAAAATGATCCTGGAATAATATACATACATTTAAACTTAATTTCAATCCTCCATAAGCTGCCAATCCTTAGTTGTGATTAATTAACGATGAACATGTCATTTTTGTTTATGATAAATTTCATCAGGATACTTCTGTTAAGATTAGCAAGTAATTATACATTCTTATTGCTCAAAGTAGAGTCCAATAATGTTATAAAAACCTCAGAGAATTCCAGTAATATATCTTTAATCATTTCTAAGATACGACACTTCAGAGCTTAATCTATGTTATAGTGGAATACACCTATTCTATACTTAATAGACTCTCCCCACCTATAATAAGTAGAAGTCGCTCAGTGAGTTGGTCAGTCAGTTGATGTCGGACGACCGTTAGTTGGATACTAAAAGTATCAGTGACCACAACTAGATTTCTCTGTGTCATTACCTATTATATCAAGTTCCTAACATTTTGTACGTCGAACCTATTTTAGGACCGACTTAGTACAAATACAAGCTTCCACTGTGAAACCACTCTACAACAATCTAACAATTAATGTTAATTAATTAAATGTAATTATTATTTATATTATTTTAGTTTGGTATTACTTTTAGTATTATATATTTTAAATAATAGAAACTTTTTCCTTTTAATTTTTAAAATTTTTTATAGTCATTTATGTTGGCTTAGGGAAGAAGTATTTCTCTTAGGAAAGGAGATATTTGAAAAAAACAGGGCACAGATTTATATTTTGGTAAGATTTGATAACAGCACTCTGAAGAATTTTCTAAGTAAGATACTTTCTCTTTCAATAATCTTTTAATGCCTCACAAAGAAATTATGGCACACATGAAAAATATCAAGTCGTGTGCAAAAGGATGAATATAAAGAAGGTATTATCTGTACTCTTTCTAGGAGGGACACTGTCAACCTGAGTGATATCTTTCAGGTTACTTAATTAGGACACATGGTTTTCACTTATTACCATAATTGCCACTGGCTACCAAATTTGTCTCTCTCAGGAGGTAATCATCAACTGGACTATTCTCACTGACAAAATGTTGTCAACTTTAAGACGTCACATAAACCTTCAATAGAAACAAAATGGAAACATACTTAACATCAGGGAGAGGCAGTTGAAATTTCTGGGGCACGTAATGAGAAAGGAGGGCTTGGAAAATCTGATACTCACAGGACAGGAACAGAGGAAAGCGGTGCTTACATACTTGATGGGATTAAGTAAATAGATATTAGAACAGAGTTTGGAAGACAAAACATATTAAAGGCTACAAGGGACAGGAAAATGTGGAGAACTATGATCGCCTACATCCTGAATGGACACAGTACATAAAAGAAGACAAAAATGGGAGACAAGTCCTATTTCAATACAAATCAGTTCAAAAAACAAAGTACCTAGTCTTTATGAAATATTTCAAAAGTACGGATTTTGTGGTTAAAAAAAGATCAAGAAGCATTTCTGATTCAAAGATACAAAAAGAAAATAATATTCATCAATTAGCCATTAATGTTCAAAAAATTTACCAGAATACATTTGTAATTCTGTAAGCGATCTGGGATTACAAAGGAAATGTTTGTCGCAGATTATTTCCATGTCACAGAGAATAAATCACTAAGTTCAGATTCGAACATCGGGGGCAGAAAGAAATGCTGAAAACTCGATTCGCAGGTACTATCTCATGAATCACAATGCATGCAACCAGTCAGAAAAATAACTCATTCTCCAACAAACGTGGTAGCCAAAATTCCCAAATTCGTCCTACCGATTCAAGAACACAAACTGCTTTTATTGGCTGAGCATTTTTCCATTTGTCGACAGCTGGGAGAGAATGTTCAGTAATTTGCATATCAAAATACTTTTATAGCGACTCCTGCAACAGACTTGTTTTTTAATTCAAATATTCCATCTTCAGCATGTCATGTGGAATACGTGCCCTTTTGTCTGGTAAGTAATTTTGTTTTTCGCCATTTTTTCTGTCCTAGAATACACGCAACGTGTTGTCGCTTAGTTTGACAAGGTAAGTCGCCGTTTTCTTTGCTATAAGTTCAAGTCACATTAGTATTTAAATTGTTAAGTATATTTGCTGAAGAATATTTCTCTTATCAACTGAAACATGTTCTCCACTGAAATAGAGCAGCAAATTATCAAAGCCTTATTCTGTTAATGACGTGTTCCTTAATTCTGAAACACTGATAATTCTATCTTCCTCATTTACAATAAATGATTTACATTATACTTAGAATAATCATTTTCTGTTTGTATTTTTAATCATCTAACCAATGACAATTACTCTTTTGCAATGCATTTTTATTGTAAAATCACCAACAATGTATTTTTATAGCAATACTAGCATGTACATGAAAATCTACTTGAATTTAAAATTATCTTGCTAGATTAGCTGTAAACCAAGGCCAATTTATTCTACTATTTAACCCATAGCTGGAGAAGATTGGACACACACTTTCCCAAGTGAACACAAGATGAGAAATTTGAAATTGAACACAGCTCATCAATTCTATTTTCTGTGCTGATTACACTATCCACACGTGTATCCATATGATAATAAATTCATATCTTTCTTTCACCCACTCTCTAAATATGACTTCTGACAAACACACAAGTAACGTTCACAGACTTTTATAGTAATAGAGATTACTTGCAATGCATAATTGTTGTAAAACCATTTACAACGCATTATAAACCAATATTATTTGCAATACATTTTTATTCTAAAATCATTAACAATGCATTTTTATAGTAATATTATTTGCAATCTATTTTAATAATAATTTAGCAATGCATTTGTTAGGATCCATCTAGCTAGGTTTTAGTTATCTGAGTGTCAGGACTTCAAACATTTAACAGCAACACATGTTTTAAATGAAATATAAAAATGGTTATTCGCTGAAGGAAAAGTAGAACATCAGTTGAAATAACATATTTTCTTTTCAGAAATATACAATGACAATAAAATGTTCAATTTTCCTTGCAATGAAATTTGTTTTATTATTAAGTAATTAAGTTCAATAGGAAATGTGTGGGCAAACTTACTTTATGATGGTCATCCTAACGTGTTTATGAGTTCGTAGACAAAGGCTTGCTAGATGTTTGTTGGTTAATCCTTTCTGTTGTATGTGTGGACAAGGCCTTAGTTGGTGGCTGCTGGCTGTCAATCCCTTCCATTGTGTGCGGGTGCTTGTGTGTATGCATGTGAAGATCAAACTGGCCTTCAGAATTGTTGTGAACCTCAAGAGGCAGTATGCTTCTATTTTTATATCCGTAAGGGGATTCAGAATCTAATTCCACATAGAGGTGTGAACTTTTTGAATACATGGTTTTCATTAGTTAGAAAATAATTTCACATAGGCTCACAAAGATCTTTTTCTCGATTTGCAGTATTGGTGAAGGGAGTTATTATTGTTATATCCTAAATGGTCCAAAATTAACACACGGTAGGTCTACAAATATGTCCACATGTATTTTGGTGGTATTTGCTCTAGTAATGATTGTTTATCCAACAAAGCTTCTGATGGGATTTTATTGGTTGAAAAATATATGTAGAATTTAATTCTTATACATTATCATATTCAAGCCTTTGATAATTATTGCCTTAAATTTTTTTTTTTCAGCGGAGAGTTGTGGAATTGAAGGAAAACCATATTTTGCCAGATGATCCTAGTGAATTGCAATATGGTCATCCAGGAATTCTGACTCTGAATGAAAATGCAGAAATGTCAAAAATTACAGATTTCCAAGATTCCTTTCGGTACCCAAAGGTGAATTATGTCCAACAAGTAGGTAAGATGACTGGGTTAAGACTGACACATTTTTCAGTCGAGATACAGTTGTTTCGAGATTTCAATTGTTTGTAAAGCTGTAAGACACTAAAAAGAAATCTCAACATAATAGAACATCAGCATCCATTCATTCACCAACTGTGTCTACACTTGTCTATGATTGGCCCAGTCAGCAAAACTTGTATCAATACTATTAAAGAGATTTCAGTTGTTAAATTCCTGGAGTCCCGACAGAATTGTTGAAAAATCTGAATATGTGATGTTAGTGCAATTAAACTGACATATCTCAAAAGCCATTGATCATCAAGTATTACAAATTGATTTTATATGAAAGTAAAACAATTGCTCTTTCAAATGATATCAAATTCAGCCTCCTTGGTATTAACTGCTTATGAGATATGGTTTTGGAAATCTACAGCTTTGTAAATATTGTAGATTTTCAGTGGTGCCTTTAGTTAATCATGTGACAGGTGTTAGTGCACACTGTATATTTAAATACAGTGCTGCCTGATTGCAGGTACATTCAGATACTTCCAGACTGTAAGCATGTGAAATTTGCAGATACATTTGAGGACTTTCAGCCTTTCATTTTGTGATTATCTTTGCCAGGACTTGTGAAACTATTATGGGTTTTCATGCTGTTCCAGGTTGATGTTTTTATCAAACATTAAAACCCCAAATGTTATCATTCATTCATTTATAAACTTGTAGAAGTTGCTTTTGGGATCATCACTTGACCAGAGAGAGTAGATAGTAGTTGATCGCTTTAAAATGATTAAACTATCAGCCCTAAAGATAATTGAAACAATTTTGCAAAATATATTTCAAAAGATATCAAAAGATAAAAAAAACAGAGATATATTATGAAATGGACAAAGTCCAACAATTATTTTAAGACATTTTTATGTTTATACATTCTTTTTATAGATACAAATATTTAAGTAAATGCTCTGTTTATAATAAACAGTATTAAACAACATTTACCGGGCTTAATTTTCGAGAAATTTTCACAGAAAATAATCATCCTCCGACAGGATTCAAACCTGTATACTATATGGAACTGTCATTTAGCTTGACATGCCTTTAACCGATTAATTGTCGGACCTTGTCCATTTCATAATGTGTGACATCATTTGTTTACATTTGGATGCGCATTGAGCAACTATGAATGTATGTGAGAGATTCATGGAAGATGGAAGTTTAAAGACAGTAAATTTGACCTTGGTAACCAAACGCTCCTCTGGCCAAATCAGTTAAAGGCACGTCAAGCTAAATGACGTTTTTGTATAGGATACAGGTTCGAATCCTGTCAGAGGAAGAATATTTTCTGTGAAAATGTCTCGGACATTCAGGCTGGTAAATGTTGTTTAATACTGTTTATTATAAACAGAGCATTTACTTAAATATTTGTATCTATAAAAAGAATGTATAGACATAAAAATGTCTTAAAACAGAGATATATCTTTACCTTTTTAAAAATTTTTCAATAACCATGTCCCTCAGGGGATTGAGGTAACCCTGACCCTCCACAAATTCCTTTACTTTATTATCTCTGAATTACCTTGCATTCTCATTTTGGGAATGACAATAGTTTGGCATTTAGATTTTTTTTTCTTCCTTTAGACTGGTTATAGAAAGAGTGGGAAGCCATATTTTTCTGAAGGGTCACTCATGTTAACTGTCCACTTCGTCAGCAAATATGGTTTCCTCCTCCTCCTCCTCTAAGTCCTTGCTTCCCATAGGAAAGCTTATATAATAGGTGGTAAAATATGATTGGGTAATTGCATAAATATTTAATTTATGCAAATTACAACCCACTAGCTCCACCTAATGGGTGTTACTTCAAATACACAATTTTAGAGAGGACATTAACTTAACATTTTACCCTGTTGTTTCATTCATAGTGTAATGACCTTAAAGATAGTAGCAGCAGCAACTCTCAAATATAAAAACATATGAACCCTAAAGTAACTCTCTCTTCCGAGTTTTACCCTCTTTCTAACTGCTGACATGAATTTTCCATGCTGAAGTTACAAGGGCTGTGAATGCTTCACCTAAAAACACCCAAGGTAAGTTCCCACTATAAAATATTCATGAATATTGTGTATGTAATTTACTTCTAACAAAAACTCTTGTTTTAAAACTTTCCTTTTGTTACTTTTTGTTTTAATAAATATTATCTTTACATTGCAAATCAATTGGTGTGTTATTTTGTGCGTGTACAATTCTTCACCACCTTTATTTCATGTGATATTAGATATTTGTAGTGAACAAAACAAGATCTAGATTTAAAATTCAAATGCTAAGCACTAACTCATTGATTTTGTTAGAAATTAAAAAGACTCAAATTTACAAACTTTGCTTAGCACACACGCAAAAGCGAATCCAAAACAAAACTCATGAAATTTCACACCTTGATGTGAAATGTTTTTCGGCCAATAGAAAACTAGGAAATATTTAAAAACAAAATTCAAATAATCTTCAATTCTCAGAAACAAATTCTTTTACGGATCTTTTCACAAGCCGATGCAAAGTTTGTTTGTCATCCAATGGAAAGGCCCAAATCATATCTGGGAGTGAATTCCCAAATGACCTTTTCAAGCCCCCAAACAAAATAAAAGACAAGCAAGTTCGCCTGTCACCAGAGAGAAGGAGACGAGCGTATTAACATGTCCCTTGACAAACATCAAGCGGTTGTTATTATTATCTCTACCTTTCTCCTTCACCTCTTTTATACTTGATAAACGAAAGGAACAGACTGAGCGATTACTTCAAAGACGTTCCTACCCTACGATAACGCTCATACATACATACACACATACGTTCCTACCTACGTACACATAAACTCATTCTTGCAAGGACTAATACGAACATTTTGATGACTTTGTATCAACCAAAATACATTAATTTTATTTGTAAGTACCTTAATTGATTTATATGTATATAAATTTGTTGTTTCACTTTACAATTTGATTTTCTTGTTTTATACCCTTCTTATGGTGGGCTATCTAACTAACGAGGCCAAATCAAACTAATCTGTTTCAACACTTATACACTTCACTATAACTGATAACCCACTATATATTTCTATAATAAATCATGCACATTTAATTATTGAAGTAGCTAATCACTAAACTGATGACCATGACAAAAAGGCTTTTATGCTAAAAACAAACATGTTATTTTTTCTTTAAAAAAACATACTTATAAGGTTTCATAAGTTTTAATTTAAACAGATTTTTCTTTAAAATAAATAAGATTATGCTAGTTCTTTTAAGTATTACTTACACTAACTGCAGATATATTTTCCTTTTTATATTTTGTTTCTGAAATCATGATTTTCTCATAGTAATTTTCGGAGAAAACAAAAAATCTTTCACTAAACTGGACTTTGAATTAATATTTTATAATAGAATATTTTATGAAACATTACAACATATATTTATAGTAAAGCTGATACAAATAGTGCAGTGATAAATATATACTTTTCTCTTTCACAAAACTTCTTAGAAAGTCATAAAATAACGTGGATAACACTGCCACTGACCAACCAAGTGACCCCATCCCATTTTGCCATTTTTTTCTTCCTGTTGACCTAATTATTACTCAAACATAGAGTGAGCCTACAAAATTATTTCATTTTTGAAGGAAGGCAGTGTTTGAGGTAAATAGAAAATTATCTCAAGTTAAATAAGTAATAATAAGGAAAGAAAGAAATTTATTTTTACAAAATGAGCAATGTCTCTGCCCTACTCTAAGCCTCCTTTTCATGTTATATATTGTTTTCCATTGAGAATTTTTCTCATTATATTTTCTAACATTCTGTAATATCATTAAGTGATAAAAAACAAAATTCTTATGTGCTACAACCTTTTAATATTACATGTGCATGCGCAATTATTTTTAAAAAAACTCGTAAAATTGTTTAAGAAAAAAAACAAAAACCTACACACGACAAAAAATGGAGGAACCCAAATTAACTGCATCGTTTGAAAACATACCAGTTTTCTCTAACAATGACCTGGAACTGTTTTTTATCTGCTTGGAAGTTGTTTTTCTGATGAAAAATATTTCATCACATAAATAAAAATTTGCCTGCATAGTTTCAGCATTACCTCAGCAGACAGCCACATGTTTACATGATCTGCTGATAAATCCACCACAAGCCAACCTGTAGGACAAATTCAAAGAGCAACTAATATTCTGAACTTCACTATCTGAGAGGAGGAGACTACATCAATTATTGGAAGCATTGGGAGATAGAAAACCATTTCAACTTCTGCATCATCTCTGTTTGGTAATATGCTGGATGATAGCATTTTATAACATATATCTATAGTAAAACTGATACAAATAGTGCAGGTATCCTTAACAGCAATGGGAGACAATGTGCCCATCAATAAGCTGTGTGATATGGCTGATAAATTGGTGGACGTCATGACCCAAGAAAACCTAATTGCAAGTGCATGAACTCTGAGTGATGACATCACTTAAATAGAGAAGGAAAATAAATTGTTAAAAAGGCAAATAGGTGATTTGACTAAAAGAATTCAACAATTGCAATGACACCAGCATTACAGTTCATCAAGAAGCAGACAACAATACAGGAGTAAGTAAAAAGGAAGGAGCAATATTTGTTATTAACCCAAGAGGTTCGGTGACTGGAGCACAAACTGCACAACTCCTTCCAATTACAAGTCCCAGGGAAACAAATAAGCCAACAATCTTCATCAGCAGGACATGTTGGCATTTCAAACTCAAGATGACTCTTCCACATAATTCTTGATCAATAGTAGAGCACAGATATTGCTAATCCCAGCTTCCCAGTCAATCAAATTAAAGGACCTGGGAAAATTCACATTATGAATGGTAAATGGTTCAATTATCCACACATATGGACATAAATGCATGACACTTAAAGAGCTTGTTAAAGAAGAGATGAGTTCATGCCTATAATAATGCATTGCAAATAATATGACTAAAAGAATGCATTCTAAATTATTTTACTATAGAGATGAATTGCAAAAGAAAATTGTCAATAGACAGAAATTAAGGCAAGATAAGGGCATTAGTGCAAGAATGATGCCTTTCTCAAGAACAATAGTGCAAAAGATTTATGCCTTTCACAAAGGCATTAGTGCAAAATTGAATGCCTTTCCCAAAGGCATTAGTGTAATAAATTCATGCCTTTATAAAGGCCATTCGTGCAAAATTGAATGCATTTCCCAAGGGCATTATTACAAAAGTATCTGCCAACTAGTCTGGAATTTGCATTCAGCTCATTCTACTTTCTCTACCAATATCCATTATAATTCCTGCCCTTTCTAACATAATAGTATTTTGAAAATATCAAAAAAAAAATTATCACTTCTATCCAAATTTCTGGGACAAGGAATTATCATTATTTATACTCAGTTAATTGCATCATCATTGTTGTTGCTATCATCACATTTCAACTGTTGTTCCCTCTGGCCTTCATCAGGTCCTCATCAATCTGGTTTAATCTAAACAGAATTTTGAACGGAACTCTTTATTTAATCTACATGTGTAGATTATTTCCATTCTGCTGACCACATCTAGTGATATCTCATTTAGTTGTTATTTAGAATAACTGCTAAGTTATTACTAGTATCACCCATGCTGATGCAAGGCAAAGATGATTCTCTATGATAATTAAAAGATAGCACTTTCATTTTGGAGGCATTAAAATTTACAAGCCATTTGTTGTCCCAGTTAACAACTTATTGAAGGTCATTTTCAAGAGCCACTGCGAGTCTTACTTTGTCAGACTTATCAGACAGGAGTAAATAGTTGTGTCATTAGCATAGATACCTAGTTGGGAACTGATAACATTTGGAATGTCATTGATAAAGATAAGAAACAATATCGATCCAAGGATAGAGCCCTGGGGATCTTCACATTAAAGTGAAATGATATAGAAATGTGGCTCATTCAACATGATCTTCATTATTTGATTTGTTAAAAATGATTGGATGAAGTCAAATATTCAACCAAAAAACTCTGTACAATTAAATTCTGAAATTAGATACTTCTGACTGTTAGGGTTCTTTATCAAAAATATGCTGGGCTAATTTGGGTTGCTAATCAGAAGAAAATCAGTTCAGCATTTAGTCGCACTGGGACTTTGAAATATAGCCCTGTTAGCTTAATCTGGCAGCTGTACTTTGACCAAGTACCTTTTATATAATGTCATATTCTTTTTTGCAGGTTCTAGAAGGAAACTTTTTGAAAGAGATTTATCAGAAAAGATACAGTAAGTTCTTTTTGTCTTAAGCATATGAGTTTATTCCCAAACTTTAATTCAAGAAAGATAAATGAAGCTGTATAACAAAATGAAAGATGTTTTATACACAGCTTATCAAAAGCAAAATAATAAAAATTGTTTCATTTTTTAATCTAGCTACTTCAATCTCTGAGAGAATAAATAAAAAGCAACAAAAATAAGATGAAAGATAAACTAGCCTGAAATTCATACTGAGATAATCTAATCGATGAAATTTGAACAACTTAAGACTTATTGTCTGAATTTCTAGGATAATGAGTCAACATTATTTACATCCTTCTCTCTGTTTCTGCCAACATTTCACATCCATATAGGAGAATGGAGACTACCAGCGATTTGTACAGAGAGAAGGATCCAAGCATTTGATAACAAATGCATGAGAAAACTTGGCATCTTCTATTTGGAAGTTTGAGTTTGTGCAGAAAAGGGCTGAAAGTTTTGTGGGCCACCAGGAACCCCTTTTTGCCACTGTCAAACAGAAAAATGGTGTGGTTTGGACGTATTACAAGGCCTGTGAAAGACCATCACGCAAGGCACCATTGAAGGTGGATGTAGAAGATGTCAACACAAAAACTAGTTGGACAATGTCAATCAATGGACACGTATGACTACAGAATTGCTGATGGCTGCGGTCGATAGAGCATTGTGGTGGAGATTCACTGTGGCTTCTGCATTCAGATTTGTCCTACGATTACAAAATTCAGAGATGATGGTGATGATTTTTTACATGTGAACTGTTTCCTTCATCTTTGTTGTTATTATCATAATGTTTTAGCCATTGTAGACTTGGACCTTCATCAGGTGCTTGTCAGTCTGGGTAACCTTCAAGATATTTTGAACTGAACCCTTTATTTAATCTATGGGAGTACATTGTTCTCATTCCATTATATCTAGAGATATCTCGTCTAGTTATTTAATACTTTTCATTTATTGCTTTCCCATAGGCACAATAGCCTAGAGGATTAAAGTGTTGCTTCATGAATTTGGTGACATAGTAATTGTGAGTTCAATCCCTGTGTTGGGCAGTGTGGAAACAGAGGAAACAATGGCTAAGTTGGCATCAAATTCTAAATCTCTTAAGGCAATTTGGGAATAATGAAAGATGCTTTTAAAGTATTAAAGGACAGGAAAATTTCATTAGAAACAAAATAAAAAAGATTACTGAACAGCTATGTAATATCGGTGCTCCTTATATGGCAGTGAATGCTGAACAAGCACCTCACAGATGAAGAAGAGACTTGAAGCAACAGAAATGTGGTTCTACAGAAGGATGCTGAGAAACAATGGTCTGAACATATGAGCAACGACAAAATTTTTGAGAAAATGGAAGCAAAAAGGACGCTTATACTTAGAATCAGAAAGAGTTGAAATTTCTAGGGCACATATATGAGGAAAGAGGGCTTGGAGAATTTGACACTCACAGGACATATTGGAGGCAAGAGGGACAGAGGAAAAACAATGCATAACCTACGTAGTGAGCTTGAGAAAATGGATGACAGAACAGTGTTTAGGAGAGATAACAAAAAGGCAATTTATTAAAACCTATGAAGGACAGGAAATTGTGGTGAGCCATGATCACCTACATCCTGAAAGGACATGGCATATAGAATAATAATATAAGGAAGATATATTTAGACACAATTCATCCAAATAAATTTTGTTAAATTCAGCCGACAAGGTCTCCATATTTAAGTTTCTATTTTATTTCTCCAATTTTTAGTCTATAGACAATTTTATCTTATGTAGAGGATTATGCTTAGCATCTGAAAGAGACAGGGCACATTTATGAGGAAAGAAGGCTCAGAAAATTTGACACTCACAGGACATACTGAAGGCAAGAGGGACAGAGGTAAATAGTTTATAACATACCAAACGAGCTTATATAAATGGTTGGCAGAACAGGTGTTGGGAGGGATAGTGAAAAGGCAAACCTTACTTAGAACCATAAAAATTGTGGTAAGCCATGATAGTTCTTATCCTGAAGGGTCATGGCATATAGAGGAAGAAGAATAATTAGTACTAAATCACATTTTCCACTGACCTGAGGTGGAACAATTACATTGAATCAGTAGCTGCATCTACCGCAGGAAAAGCTGGTTCTCTGTGTTGCGGCAGAAGGTTTTTCTCACCTGAGTCTATCCTTCAAATCTACAAATCTACCATTTGTCTTTGCATAGAATATTGTTGCCATATATGGTCTGGTGGCCCCAGTGTTTATCGCAAAGTTCTCGATAAAATTCAAAGACAGATATGCAATGAGATCAGTCCTGACTTGGGATCTTGATTCCAGTCACTTTCTCACCGACATAATGTGGCTTCCCTCTGTCTTTTCTATAAATATTTTTGTGGCGTCTGCTCTGACGTGCTATTTTCACTGGTGCCTCGACAGCATGAATTTAAATGTGCTACTAGGTTGGCATCTAGGTCCCATCCTTTTACTGTTGAAACAGTTAAATGTTACCCTCTCTTCTATTCCAACAGCTTCTCTTGCACTTCCTGACAGTGGAACTCCCTTCCTCTTACTTGCTTCCCTGATAACTACAATCTTCAAATATTTAAATCAACATCTTCTGTTGCCTTGATTCCCGTTCTTCTTTTTATCCTTTCCTCCCATCCATACCCAGTCTTTTCTCTTACTTTCTCTCTCTATAGCCCCTTGTGTATTAGTGGCACTCCTCCCTTGCTTGGGGTGAGATGCTTAAAAAAAAATGAACTAGACATCCCTAGACTCGTGGAATGAGAACATATATAAATACAAAGATATGCAAATAACTTAAGGCTCACTTCTATCATTACTCTGAGTAATAAACAGACTTATTAAAAACTTGAAATGAAATTACATCAAATAAATTTAAAGACAACTATTAGATCTTCTCTGAGTAGTTGTAAAGAATGAGTTAAAAAGGAATAATAACAATGCTTCATGTATAAAATTCATAGATGGCCATGTGGTGTAATGGTTAACGAGTCAGAACAAGAAATCAAATTCCACTCAAGTTCATTGCATTTGTTTTTGCACAAATACCCCTGCAAAAGGTATAAATCCATCTCTTCTCTAGCCAGCTATGGGTAAAATAGGCAGACTTGCTTCTCTAGCAATGTTTGTCAACCAGTCCAGGAGAAGGAGAACTCTGAATTCCAAATTGTATGCAGATGGAACTTGTTAACATGGGGATATGTGGTCGTGTAAGGGAATGAAAGCCACATCAGAAAAGCAACCCTTCCTTGGGGTAAAGGTTGGGCAATGGGCCAGCCACTCCATGCCATGGAACAATTCAGTTACAGAAATCTCAAAGAGGCCTTATGTGCTATGAGGCACCTGGCAGACAGAACCATGTAGGAAACAGTTTAAGAAAATGATATCTACCCCTGATGTAAATCAAGGCATATGATGACAATTTAACCAGGAAGACTGTATCCACCTGACTGAATATGAATTTCACCGACTGTGGGATCTCCATGGCAACACTGTCATCTATATGAAAGGGACTTCATAAGGATACTGGATAGAGATTCAAAATTTCTGAATTTCCACCTATCGCAACGAACAGGTGTTCTTTCAGGGAGACCCCCGTGCCTGACCTCAAGTGGAACTTGTACATAAGATCTGTCTCTAAAGATACTGAAAAAAATGGTTGGCTCCCTGTTTCACTCAAGTAAGCACCTGTAGAATTATTTTTATTTTCCTCGATCGAGTTCAGATGAATGAGCGGCAACAACCAGTTGCTCTTTCTGTATAGATTTTGTTTTTCTATTATTTTTTTTCTTTTCTTTCCTGCTCCTGAGTTTTGGATGTGCACATGTAGGACAACCAAATGAGAAGTTATATAAGCACCCCACCTGAGAGGAAAAAAAACAGAGTTTCTCATATGCTCATCAGAAGAAGATCAATGTTCAAAGAAAGTCTCCAAGACCACACACACACCCTCATGCTGATATCTATTGAGGAAGTCCAGAAAGGAATAAACAATAATTTAAATGAAAGAAATTGGTTGCTCGTTCTATATTATTTTTTTTTCTGATTTTCTTTCCTTCTCCTAATTTCGTATTGCCAACTACAATCATTGCTTTCGCCTTTTGTCCCTTTAATTATGTCACTTTTTATTGCCTTAGTAGCAAAGGTGTTTCATGTAAGAATTTTGCAAAATTGAAATTGGTTACTTTAATCTTATTAAATTTTTCCTGTTATGCTATTTGTATTTTTTCCAAATTTTATAAAATTTCAATTATAAAAATTAAAAAATATATATATACAAATTACAATTGTACATTATTATGAGATAGCAGCTAATTTCAGATCCTGATCTTATATGTAATGTTATATTCTGCCAGTACACTTTTCTGAAGTGATGGCCAATATATAAGCCAAGTGTTATCTTTAGGTAATTACTTACTCCCATTTATAAATACATTTGCCTTTGTGATATTTTAATGTTTCTGGAATAAATTCTGCACTTTAGCTTCCTCCTACACGACTGAATTACAGCTCTATATCATAAACTACTTTTGTAAAAAGCAGCTTGATGTCCATTCAAATGTGTCTATGCCAATTTCACAGATCCCAGATGCTTGCCAAAATGGCTGGACGACAAGAAAAGCCTGATTACAAGACAGCAACAATGGAGGCGTTTAACATCGAAGGTTTTGAATCTAAAAATCCGAAACCCACGCAAGTAAGTTGCCCACTTATGCTGCATTTAGGGTTGATTGGTTGTTTTTGTTTAGCAGTATGTCAACCTTTATATGCTATTTAATGTTAAAATCTAAATATTTTTTATGCAATTTTATTTTATTTTCGGAGATAATAAAATTTTAGTGAGACAAATCTTACTAATTAACCCATAGCTTGGAGGAGAAAAGGTGATTCCCAAGGTTATTTGCATGAAAGTGAACATAACAAACCCAACTTGAATTGGAACTCCGCTATCTGATTAAAAATTCCATGCCATTATCCATTACACAACCCATAAATCCAAGCTTACAGCACCTGGTATTCACAAGCAGTCATCTATCTAGGTACTGACTTAGCTCGATGTTGCTTAACTTCAGTGGGGACTGGTATTTCAACATGATGTGTCTGAAAGCCTGCATTTAAAAGGCACAACAGGACTGTAATATTATTTCTTTAAAAGAGACATATGTTTATATTGCAAGATTAAATCATTACAAAAATAGAGAGTTGTATAAAAAAAAAGACTGGCTACTGTAGACAAAAGTCCATAAAAATATATACTCAATAGAAAGTTTAATTAGATGTATTATTAGGTGCATACCCTTGGTTGGTGGCTACGTACTGTAAAGAGATCACAAGAAAATCTTTTAAGCTTTATCTTTTCTAATATTAAAAAATAATTTCACACAATCTGCAGATATGGACACCCACATAGAAAAAGAAGATATCGTTTTATCTCCAATCTCAAGTGTTTCTGTTTAACAGCCAGCAGGTGGTCCTTTTTTGAAGTTTAGTTTTCTAAGCAGCATTTAATTTAACTAAAGGGAGATGGGAAGTAAAGGAGTGGATGAGGGAATTTTAGAGATCTAGTGGCAACAAAACCGGAAATAGAGTATATTTGGATACTGGTTTATATTAACAGTAATGCTTGGGATTGGGTAAATTTCTGATCTGCCCTTGGCGATAGATGTACTTGTACACCGCGTAGTTCCTGCACTACACATACATATAACCAGCTACACATTGGAATGAGAAGTCAGTAGGGACGAGAGGGCACAGCAGTTGTTGTCTCAGGTATCACTTATCTACCTACCCAGATGAGCAGGTGAAGCCCTGAATAAAACACCTGCATACAGTATGGGAAACAGGGCTTGTGTTCCTCTTCTTTAACATGGCATTTGTCTTTCATTGTGTTACCTTGTGAGTAGGCAATGTGTCCTTTCCCAACTTTCAATGCACATTGATGTGATCAAGAATTGAAATGCATTGTTGGGTAATCATTAGCTGGTTGGTGGGGGAGCTTGGGCAAGGGTCATGTTGTATATTTACACATGTCCCACTTGAAAAACTGATGATAATTTCGTCATTTGAAATCAGTGATAGGAATTATTTAGACTTGCCCTTTTTCTATATCAAGAAGGCAGTCCTTAGCAGGGATATGTAAGTGTAAATATACAGTTTTTTGTGTGTGTGTAGTATATGATTTTCTGTAGGAACTACAGGAGGTCTGGATTGAATTTAATATCAATAAAGAAATTCTGTTCTAACAGATGATCCGTGGTGACCCCAATATATACTGGGTCCACCCTAAGAGATACCAAAGTAGGTTTTGCATTCTCTGTTACATCAGAACATCAAAAGAACCAGGTGCATTAGTGGGTTGGTCTGGAAAGTGTCCTCAAAACTTACAGTCACATTATGTTGAAACACCGATTCCCATATAATTATCAAAGTTAAGCAATGGCAAACCTGGTTAGATGGGTGACTGCTTGGAAATACTAGGTACTGTAATCATGGATGTGCAGGTGGCGTAATGGATAATGGCTCAGAATTGTTAATTCGAGAGCTATGTTCGAATTCACATTGGATTCATTATATATATTTACGCACAAATAACAGTGGGAAAGTTATGAATCCACTTCTTCTGCGCCATCTATGGGTTAATTAGTAAGGCTTGTAGCACTAAATTATTATTATCTAAAAAAAAAATCCAAAAATTCTTACAATCTAAAAAAAAAAATTCTCTGGCTTTAAATAAACTGTAAAATGTTGATAAGCTGTAGAAAATGAATGAATCAATCAATCAGCCAAAGCCACCAAGTGCAGTAACAGGTATCAAAGGATGTCAGTGGCTTCCCATAGCATATAAACCAAAAGGTTGATCCATATGAGTTTCGGATATGCACATGCAGGACAACCAGATGAGAAGTTATATAAACACACCACCTGAGAGGGAAAAACCAGAGCCTCTCACATACTCACGAGAAGATCAATTTTCAAAGAAAGTCCCCAAAACCACACAAACCTCCAAGCTGATATTAACTAAGTCCAGAAATGAATAGACAATAATTTTATGTATAAGATTGGTTGTTTGTACTATATGATTTTTGTTTTTCTTCTTTCTTTCCTTCTAATTTTATACTACTAACTACCATAGTTGCTTTCTCTTTTTGTCCTTTTAATTATGTCACTTTTTATTGTACTAATAACAAAGGTGTTTAATATGAGATTTTTGCAAAACTTAAATTAGTTCTTCTTTTATATGTCAGGTTTCTTCAGCATGTGAGCAATCATGGCTTTCCACAATTTCTTGTTCTTTGTCACTCTTAATTAAGTTTGTCTTTTTACTATCTCCCCTAATCCTTGTTCTACCAACCAGGTTTCAACCAATTTCAACAAAACTTCACAGGACTACGTAAAATTACCTTGCAGTGGTTCTAACAGCGCCAAAAATTGGAAAAACACAATTGTTTTTGCACAAAATCAATTTGAAAGCACGATTAAGAGGCATCACAAGAATGAAAGGGGGACAACTCATATCGAGTTATACTTATTATAAAACCCAGGTTGTTTGTGTGTGTGTTCGTTTATATATGGGATTGGATTTCCTACATTATTCAACCAATTTCAACAAAACTTCACTTTTTTTTTCTTTTTTTTTGGCAGGTAGTGTTTCTTATTTTCTTGCACACTTTTTTCTTTATTTTTACATTCAGAATGCTTTAAAAATTCCATTTACAAGACAATTGTTTATAATAAAATTCTATTCAATCAGTAGACTCATCACAACAATTGAAAACATTGTTTTTGTTTGGGTTTGACAAATTCGTATAAAAAAAAAAGAAAAAAAACTAATTAAGACATGCGTGTCCGTCAATCTTAAACAATAATCTTTGTCAATTTTATTTTTCAGTCTTTATGATGGTCGATACTTGATCTATCTCTTACTGTTACATCCCCGGGCAACGCCAGGCTCTACTGCTAGTAATTATTATATAACCAACACTTGTTTTCATATATCTGCCTTCTACACATATATAATTCTATCAATAAAAACATTAGTTTAATGAAGTCCTTCTAGAGAACAAAATGTGTTACACTGAATATTTCTACTTTGTCATTATTATTATCTAACATTGTTCTGATATATAGAAATTTATTTATCATATTTTCCCATATTGAGAATGAGAGAAAATGTTAATTATGTCCATAATGGTATTTTCTTGATATAGTAATTGTAAGTTCAATCCCAGAGTTGGGTAGTGTAAACTTAGACTCAGTAGAAACAGGATGAGTATTAATTAAGCAGTACTAAAAAGAGTACAAGATGAGATGCGTCCATAGACATGGACTGCAAAACATTTATGATCTATCTCCTATAGATTAAATAAAGGATTCAGTTTGAAATTCCCTGAAGGCTACCCTGACTGACAAGCACCTGATGAAAGCCAAGAGGTACAGTGGCTGAAACATTGTCATCATAACAACAAAGATGAGGATAACAGTCCAAGTGTAAATAATATAGATGATGATAAGTCCTCAATCAAGAAATTCAAAAAGAAAATGGCATTTTTAGTCAGTTTAATCATTCTCTAAATTATCTGTATACTAGCAACCATACCCAGCTGATCGATCAGAAAAAGCGTTCAATTAGAATGGAGCGAAAACAGCATCATGTTTAGAAGTAATAGAATCTATCTTTTTCAATTACTTTAAAGTACTTTGATTAAAAATCACTTTGAATTAATGCAGTTACTAATTTAATAGAAGCAGTCTGTATTTATTCAATCGAAGTTAGCCGAGGACATGAAGGGGTAAAACAGGTAACATGAAGACCCTGTTCAGTCCACAATTATTTTGGAGTTTTTGAAATTCAGTTTGTCAGTGTGCTACCAGGGATGTAAGAGGGGATATATTTATAAAGCAATTGTTAAGTTGATTGAAAGATCAACAAAAAATAAGAAAGAAATCAGTAAAAATCACCATTTTTCACTATTTACATGGGTTTTCACTATATGGGTGGACTCAATTATCAATTTAAATGACTGTTAAACAATCAACTTATTGTTGGCTACAATTGAGTGAAGTTTGTATTAGATTGCTTGAAAATTGAGGGAGTTTTTAGTTTTAAATTTGTGCTGAAATCAATTTGTGTTGAAATCAATTTTTTGTTTTTTTGCTAAACGCAGTGGTGTAGAAATAAAAATTAGGTATTGTTGAGCTTGTCATGATGTAAGTAACCCACATACCGAGTTTGAACAAGTTTGAGGAAAAATGTTGAATTTATCGATTTTTGATCAGCTTTATCAATTATTGATTTTTTGCACTAAGAACCTATCTCTTACATTGTACAATGTATATGCCAAGTTTGGTCAAAATCAGTTGGATGGATCTCGAGTGAAAAGGTATCACACTGACAGACATCCTCTGTTTTATATATAGAGATGATAGCCATTTTCTTGAGCAAAAAAGAGGCTTTTTAATTTTAGCAACAAATCAGCTTTTCTGTCATTTCTGTTGCTGATTAACATTTAAATAATATTTTCCAATGTTTGCTTTAATTTTAGTAATTGAATAAACATTCACTTCTCTATCTGATGAATTTTTCTTACTTTCTAATTTTAACATCCATGTTTTTTTAGACACATGATTATCGCACAGAACAGCCAGTGAGTTATTGGTTACAAAACTACCAGAAAATTCACGTAAGTATCCGACGATTTGTATTTATATTTTTGAGAGAAGGCAAAGGTGTTTGATTTTTATTGTAAGTGTTTAAAATCGCTAAAGAAATTTTGTGTTTATTTCATGTCTAGAGTCAGAACAGAAAAGCTTTTTCAAAAGAATTTCTGTTTCCTGGTGATGGATAAATTGTCGTCTAAATGATGCAAAAATAAAAAAAACACTGTCATTCCATTTTGACAGATATATTTACCAAAATTACATAAAAATATCTTGAAGTACTAAAAAGTAATTTTATTTAATAAAATCGCCATCAGCTTCAACCACAGCCTTTGGACAACTTCAGAATCTCCTGTAACTCTTCTGGACAGTTTCCTAGTGGGTGAATGCTGCCGTAATCCTTGTCTTCAGTTCATCTTTGGTATTACGAAGAGTTTTGTTGGTCTCTTGCCCAACTACACTCCACACAATCAATGGGGTTGCAGTTTGGGGAGTTAGATGACCGGATGTAAGTGGTGATGTGGTTGCAGAAATTTTCTGACAGCTATGACTGGGTTCTACTGTTTGTGTGACATGATGCAGAGTCTTGTAGCCATACATAGAGTCTTCCAGCAGCCACCCTCTTGACACAAGGTAGCACTACTTCCCCAAGGCACTTGATGTAAGTTCCTGTGTTGAGTCTGAGGCCTTCACCAACAAATTCAGATCTTTTCTTAGAATGATTAGAGTGATTTTTTTCTTCGTAATCACCATTAGACTCATCCAACACTTTCTAAATGTCCTCAGATTGATACCTAAACACTCTGAAATGTTTGTATTGGAGCTTCCGGCACAAATGCCAAGGAGTAAAGCATGCAATTTCCAAATTTCTGGCAGAGTGAATTTTCAATATGGTACTCTTTTTTTTCTTATATACAATGCCAACTGACCCTACTATACAGTGCTGTTAGCAAAATCCAAAAAAAAAAAAAAATGCACATGCATGATTTAAAAATATAAAATGGCGACAATTTATCCATCGCACTCTCTGTGTATGTGTGTGTGTGTGTATATAAAAATTAGGAGGTCAACCAATTCCGTTACTTTGGTGTCAATCTTTCAGTACCTTCAGGTGATTTTGGTCAATTGATTTCCTAACGCTTTATTTTTTAAAAATTTAATGAATGCTTTATTATTTAAAAATAAATAACACACAATGGGAAGTGTGATAGAAGGGGAGGAAGAGGAGGAGAAAAGCAAGATTATTGGAAATGTATCGATGGTGGAGGGGGTTACATGAAATGTACATACTTTCTTTTCATCCTGGTTTATGTAAACTCAAAAGGAACTTTTAGTGTGTATGCAACAAGTCATAATTTCCGATTTAACCATTTCTTGACAAATATTATTTTTTGTCAAAAGTTGGATCTTTAAAATAATAACAGAGAAGTGAATGCTTGAAATAATAATAACAATAACAACTACTACTACTACTACTACTCCTTTTCACTACCATAAATGGCTATTTTAGTGGGAAAAATAAATACATAAACACACACTAGAAACTTTATGGGACCACTGCATATGGTGATACCAAAATGACTTCAGATGTTATTGACCTTGTTTTCACTAATATAGTGATGGTTCAGCCAATTGATTCTCCAGCCATTCACAGATGTACAGTCAGTGTGGAAAGAGAGGTGGGGGGTCTCTCTTTTTTAATTCAGTCCACTCATACTGTAAAAAACACAGAAAAATACTTTATTGGTAGACACTACATTTTGAGAAACCCAACACTCTTTCAATATAGCTTGTATACCTGAGGAAGACTGGAGAATGGACTGACTTAGATGTTATGCAAACAATCAAAGCATCACAAACAATGAGATCAAAATCTTGGGAAATGTTAACTGAGAGGAGGGGATGGTGGTAATTGCCATCCAGGTGTATATAGAGGCACTAACAATAAAACTGATGAGATCTGTGTTATCACCATGAAACTTTTTGTTACACGTATACTTGACATGTTTTTAATAAGATCTGAAAAATGTAATATTTAAACTATATGTGATTGTCTATAAGATATTGAGCACTGTTTCCACAAAATCAATGACAGTTTACATTTGGCTGAATTGTATAAAGGATTATTTATATTGTGTGTGTGTGTATGTAATTTATGTGAAAATTATAAGATAAATATGTTATAAAATCACTAAAAAAATAGCCATTTTGTTTCAACACTTCTGGTGTCTTATCAAGTGATGGTGTTGAACACTAGAAGTGTTGAAACAAAATGGCTATTTTTTTAGTGATTTTATAACATATTTACGTTATAATTTTCAAATAAATTATATTTGCTCTACTGTGTATTGAGCACTCTTTTAAGAATAGTATTTTTTGGTTATTGGAATTTATTCCGTATATACCAATCCTATACTTGGAGATATATATATATATATAAGGGTGCAATGGGTAAATTGCCGCCATTTTATGTTTTTAATTTCACATGCACGTTGTTTGTTTTTGATTTTGTCAACTGCACAGTATAGTACGGTCAGTTGGGCACCACATATGGGAGAAAAAGGACACCATGACACAGTTAACTTTGCCAGAAATTTAGAAACGGCATGCTGTACTACTTGGCATTTGTACCAGAAGCTCTAACATGAATATTTCAGAGTGCTTGGGTGTTAATCTGAGTTCAGTGCAGAGATTCAGAAAGAGTTGAACGATATATCGAGTCAACATCATAGTGTTTGGAGTGATCACTAGTAATGTCGACTTTATGCCTCCATTCATCTTCCGACATGGCCTCGGACTCAACATAGAAGCCTGCAACATGTGCCTTGAGGAGGTAGTGCTGCTTGTTTACCAGCACAACCGTCTGCTAGGATGGCTAGTCAAACCCTATTACAGATGCCTGCTCAATCCACAGAGAACACCTGCAATTTATACTGCAATTATGCTGCTGAGCGAACCTTAGGAAGTTTCTGGAAGAGAATGCATAATCCGCATTGATTGATTGATAGATATTTCTTTCTGTTTAAATATTTGGGATGTGGAATTATCATTATTTACAAGACTACTCTCCTCATCTTTGTTGTTGTTACACTATTTAGGCTGCTGTATCCTCTGGCTTTCTTTAAGCATCTGTTGATGTGGGTAAGTGTGTAAATTGCTCTCTCAAGTAGTTTGTAACATTATTTATCATCTCTCAGTTGCATCTCTGTCTTTAGGCAGAGTGTGCTAAGGAGTGGCTCTATCAAGGGACAGATTTGCAACTGAGGAAAATTATACTGAGAAGTGCCCCACCCTGGGGAACAGCTGCCCGAGTCTGTGCCTTCTTATTGCATCAGAGAGAGGGATCCGTGCTCACACCAAGGCTAGCGCAATTGATGGTTCCGGAGGCTGCAGTTAATTTTTGTTCCTATTCCAGGTGTATGCGCTTGGGCTCCCTGATCTTGTGTCACAATCTGATCTTGTTGGGGGTTGAGTAAGTACAATCTGTTGATGTGGGTAACCTTCATGAAATTTCAAACTTGACCCTTTATTTAATCTACAAGGCTTGATTGTCCATAGGACAATTGGATTATAATGTTAGTTTGTGAAATTGGAGACATAGTAATTGTGAGTTCAATCTCTGGGCCTGGTAGTACAGATTTAAACTCACTGGAAACAAGCTGTGCAATAGTAAATAAGAGACAAGATAGCCCTAGACATGGATGGTGGAACAAGAACAATCTACCCCCATAGGTCAAATAAAGGATTTGGTTTGAAATTCCATTTTGAGGTTACCTGGATCCACAATCACCTGAAGAAGGCCAGAGAGCATAACAGCTGAAACATTTTTTTTTTTTTTAAATTTTTGATGTTATCCTCTTCTCTCATCTTCAGGGTGTGACCATGGTGAAAACCCGAGATACAGTCTTCCGTAGGGACTGTGCTTTCAGTAAACCTGTCGAGGAATCATGGGAAGAAGCAGAACCCTACATAAAAGAGCATTATCCATGAAGCTGGCAATTTCCATGGATCTTTTTTATGTCATTACAGAAAGATTTTGGTGGGTGAATAAAACAGTTCCCTTTTAAATAGTCTTTTCTATCAGCAAAAATCTGGGACTCAATATAATAACCTTCCTTTGATGTTTTCAATCCATAGCATTTTCCAGTAGCTTTGTTATCATCGTACCAGGTTCAAATGCAAAATAATATTTAACTTTCATTAGATGATATTCAAAATCACTAAAATATTGCGAATGAGCAATTATAAAATACTAGAAAAACACATGAAAATTTCAGTTTTCTTATTTTAATTCTTAATTCTTCAGTTTATGATTGAATAAGCTCATGTTGAGTTCTATGACAATAAAATATCCATAGAAATTCCCCTATCACATCATTAAATACTTGAGCTTAACAACTTTAGCAAAATATTGCAATAACAATCATAAATATGATTGCTGGTCTTTATTTTAAGAAGTAAGGGGGTACAAATGAAAAGATTTGAAATTGACAACTTTTTCCATTTCACTGAAACAGACATTAAACATTTCTGCCTTCCCTTCTTTTTTTCATTCATTTTTTTACTGAAACCAAGTAGTGTCTCTGGTATGCATTTTGTTTTTCCACACAATCAATACGGAATAGTCCATTATTTATGAGGTATTGGAAGGATACATTAAACACTTCTATTTTCCTTCTTTGTTTTCATTTTCTCACTAAAACCAAGTAGTGTCTTTTCCACTCTTTCCATACAATCAAAACAGAGCAGTCTATTATTTATGAGGTATTGGCAGGGCATAGCAGTTGCACAATCTAAGGAACTAACAAACAAAGGGAGAAACAAACACAATTATTATTATATGATGATTTATTTATTAGAATGGTCTGATGACAGCTACCTGGTTTTTGACTATTAAATATAACAACAGATTATATGTGGCTAAATCCTCAATATTCCAGTGCTAAGGAGCCTCATCTGTCTTGCAAGAGACTAGCATTTGGAGTTCGCATTTGGGAAAACACAATTAACTGTAGACTTTTACTTTTTAAAGTGTGTATAAAACATAGGTGCACATGGTGTTGCCAGCCATTGCTAAAAAGAAGGAACTTAGTAGTGACTGTTATGGCGGGGGGATAAATCCATGAACTCAGGGTCATTCATTCATACTGTGTCTTCTCAAGTTAGTTAATCTTCCAGCCACATACACACAAAAGAAATCTGATGGCAAAATCATTTTTGAAACTTGCTTGCTTGGATGACTAATAATTGTCATTCCACCAATTTAGTTGATCTCCAAGTGACAAACACATTGATTTTAATGTCCGCAGACAGATAACTAAGCAGGTTGGAATTATGAGAGAATTATTAAGATTTTCCGGTACAGTTGTGTGGGGAGGTCTAGGGTTAGGGTATGGGAAAGGGAATCTAGTTAAACATTCCAATGTCAAACCACAAAAACATGTGATATCACACTCAAAAGTACAAAAACATCACCTTGCAACCAGAACAACAAAATCTGTCACACACTCAGAAACACTAAAATGTCACCCTGTATTCAAAACCACAAAAACATGTCACCCTGCTCTCGCAACCACAAAAAAACTTGAATCTTTTTTTCATGTTTTTGAGGATTACTTTCATTCTTTTTTTCTGTCATAAATGCCAAAAAAAAATCAATCAAAATTGAAATAATTATTGCTTTAACTTAAATTTAATTCATTTTCTGAAAAAAAAAACTCACACACAATTGTAGCTACCTTAATAAAGAAATTAACAAGAAAATGATAAAAAACATTGTTAAGTAATGAATATTTCTACAGCAAACAAAAATGAATTGAGTTTGTTAATATTTTAATTTCATTCTCATATTGTGAAGATTATGCAAACAGAAATATTCATAAAACCAACTTATGAAAATATTGATGATCTCTGAGCATGTTTTTGACGATTACTTTCATTCTTTACATTTTAAAATTGATAAACAAAGATTTAACTGCAATTATTTCACTTCTTTGTGTATATTTTGAGTTTTTTTTTTTTACAAGCACACAAAAGAAAGAACATGAAATAAAAGAAAGCAAATTTGTGTTTAATTCTTTTTATTTTCACAATTTTTTTTATTCTCATGTATCTTCTCAGAACTTTATTGATTTTCTTCGATTCTCATCCAATAGCACCTTCATAAATTTCTACAAATTTTTTTAGGGATGTAAGAATGTTTAAAGGAGCCGATAGCATTGAAATATCAGAATACAGTTTGTCTTTTGTTGCCTTTTGTTTTTTAATCATTTCACCCCAAGCAAGGCAATAATTTTTCTAAAATTCAAGGGGGTTATTGAGGGAGAGAAAATATTAGTGAGGAGGAGGAGAATAGACAATAAAAGAACAGGATCCAGCAAAACAGAAGATGGCAATTGATGTTGCATTTAAATCTTTGAAGATTGTAGTTGACAGGAAACTAAGAAGCCCAAAGAGAGTTCCACAGGTGAGATGTGTGAGAGAAGAAATGATTAATATAGAACTTACAGTTACATCTAGAAGTTTCAACAGTAAAATGACATTTCAGTATTTATCAACATCTTTCAAAAGAACAAATACACACACTTGTCTTGAAATTTGAGATATTTAAACCATTAAGGGTCAACATACAATCCAGGAGTATAAAAATTAAAATCTGGTATTAATTATAGGTTTCTAGAAAATTCCGTATTAATTATAGGTTCTACTCTATGGAGCTTAATTATCACCTGAGATTAATAAGGTTCTGTTCACAATTTTTGATACTTTTGTGTTATAGCATGTTCTCTCTGCAACATTCTATATGACTATTTTATTTGTTATACAAAAATCTTCATTTAATTCTGAGAGGCTACACAAAGACGTGTTTCTGTCAATTAATGGAAATGTTATGATTAGACAAAAACATTTTGGTGTCAAATATCTCAAGACCACAAAAAGTGCAAATAGGACCATTTTTTAAAAATTTCAGGTGGCATAATACACAAGGGTGTTGGAATTTTTCTCAATATAGAATAAATTCAGGGATCTTAATAAAAGAGAGGTTGGAAAAACATTGAAAGCATCATTAAATGAGTGAAACGAATAAATAGGATTGTCAAGCTCAGTGAGGCTCAGAAAATCTCCTCCAAAAAAAAAAAAAAATGCCCTCCACTTCTGTTTGACACTTTGGAGTGACTATAATAAATTAATACCCACTTATGAATGCCTATAATTTATTAGTATCCAGTGCCACCCTAATTGGGATCTTGGGTATTAATGAGTTGATGTAAAAATCCAGGAGCTCACATAATGTGAATGTTTTACAAGAAATTGATTGTAAGTTTGGTGGTTATTAGATGATCATTTAGCAAACTTGGATCAATGTACACGCAATGAATGTCAAAATGATGTTTTTTCCCATGATACTGCTTTTATTTTAACTGCCTTCACTCTTCGGCAATGTTTATTGTTTTAAAAAGCAATAATTAGAATTGTAATAAAATCTAAACATATGAAAGTGAATTTATAAATTTTCTTTGTTCTTGAGAATTGACTTCAAAAATAATAAACACTGTTTATTTATTAGATTCTTTATTGGAATGGTTGGCCAAACATCGGCTAATTGGCAATTGATTCAAACTTTACAGAATGGTAAATAAGGATTTATTTATTGTTGGTAATTTAGAAAAAGTTTATAAACTTAAGAATAGAAATTGTTTTCACATTTATTTCTTTATAAATTGGTAAATCATAAATATAGCATTAGTTTTAATTGTATTAGTTTTCAGAATGTTGTAAATATAAAATTCTTCTTCTAAACAGACAATCTAACAAATAAATAGTGTTTAACTTTTTTGCTGTAAATTGTCAAGAACAAAAAAATACATGTAAATTCACTTTCGTCATATGTAAAATTTTATTTCAATTCTGATCATCACTTTTTAAAACAATAAACATTGCCAAAAGTTGAAGGTTCTTAAAAAGGGGGGTGCCATGTAAAAAAAAAAAAAAATGTCCTTTTGATGCTGTCTTATTGCAGGCATGTTTATCCATGTTTGCCATTTTTTTTTCTTTGGCTCAAATAAAAATCCAAAGTTAAATCTATAAATTCATTTTCAGTAGAATTTGACCAATTAAGATTCATTTTCAGCTATATTTATTTTTAATATGTCCCGGAAAGGATATATTTGTTTGAAGTAGCAAAGTGGTTTTGGACTACTGTAACTGAGTAGGACAATCTATCAGGTAACCGTAATGGACTGGTCTTCGTCATAGTGGTAGGCAATAGGCATTGTCCATGTACCTCCACATCAGTCTGTATTTATGGCTGACACCAGCCAACCATATTACTGTGAGGGGGAACCCAGGTGTATGCATATTCATTACATCAATTTTCAATCTTAAAAGTTGAAAGATCATCACAATATTAGGAAAGCCAGTCTTTGATGTTAATTATGTTTAAATGTGGAGAAATAAAAACAAAATAAAAAAAACAGAAACTATTGCTGGTTGGTCTTATTGGTGAATACAAGGATAAGCTTCAACCAGAAAAGAAAAGTAAAATGTATTAATAAGTCAAAACAAAAATAAAATACAGCACCACTGGATTGGAAATAAAGCTTCTGATAAGATTTTGAACTTGCATCTCCTATCTTTGAGAGACTGATATGGAGTGGAGCATCATATTTGAGTAGACGCTTTGATAAAAACTAAATCAGAGAATTATCATTTCAATTTTCATTAAGAAATTCATAAGACTATTACATCTGTTGCTATTATTTCTATACAAATAAGACATGTCATAAAAATTGGATAATGAGGAACGTACTTCCATAATAAAATAATGATACCTGCTGTTTAGTTTTTGTAGTCTAATCAATCAGATGCTGTCCATTTCTTAATGATAGGGGATGCAAGATTTAAATCATCAATTCTCCAGACAATTTTTACTTTGTAGAATATAAAAAGCCTTGGGCTGTTGTGATAAAGAAAAACAAAGAATAAGACAAAGATAAAAACTAGTCAAAAAATTGATTGCCTATTTTTTCAATCCTATAATTTTAATCATTTAGTAGACTTTTGTTTTTCCATATTTATGCATTTTTAATCACCAGACTCTTTGATAATTATATCATACCATCTTAACACTTACTTAAAATGCAATGTTTTTAATAAAGCTGGAACAATTTCTTTCATAATTTTTATTCATTTATATTTTAATAAAGATTAAATCTAAGAAAATCTAGATAATTAAAAAATATTTTAATAAAAATTAAATCTGAAAATATTTCAGTAAAAATTAAATCTAAAAAATATTTAGATATTTAAAAATATTTAAATAAAAATTAAATCTGAAAATATTTCAATAAAAATTAAATCAAAAAAATATTTAGATATTTAAAAATATTTAAATAAAAATTAAATCTGAAAATATTTCAATAAAAAAATTAATTAAAAAATATTTAGATATTTAAAATTATTTAAATAAAAATTAAATCTAAAAATACATCTTCATAATAAGCTTCTTGATATTATTTAAGAATTTGTTTGTGTTTCAAAGAATCCTGGCTAGATGATACAAAATGGTGTCATGTTTAGTTAAACTCTACAAAATTAGTTATGGCATGAACGGTAAAATCAAGATTTGTTTTCTTAAATAACAGCTAGTGTTTCTAGAACATTCTTAAAAATCCCAATTGATTTGTATTAAAAAGAATCTTTTAAACATCTCAGATTATCTATAATTTAAAAAAAATTGTTTTAAAGTTTAAAAAAAATTAAAATAACTCTCCAATCTAAATTTGCAAAAAAATTCTTTTCTAAGATTTATGAATAAAATTTTGAAATATTGCACTAATATGAGAAATCTTTGACAAACTTATTCTTCATTTTCATAGGGAACCATCAAAAATGCTCAGGTCTCCAAGTAAATTTTCTTCCCCATTTCTAAACTTTATTCTAAGAAATATTGGGATTTTTCCTTGAAAGTATTATTATGATTATAATTATTTGTAGACAAAAATCTCATTCCAAATATTTAGAAAATTGCTTAGATTATAAAACAATTTTTTTCTTTTATTTCATCACACACAAAAATACACAAAAAAATAATGATATTAAAGTAAATGATATGTAAAAACACTGTACTCTATGAGGAAAGGTATAAGAGTAGGTACTTCCAAAAATTAGCTAAAAAAAGGATACATTATAAAAAAATACCTAACGCATAAAAATAAACTTTTATCATCAAAATCTCTGCTATTATTAAAATTTGATCATAGTTTTTTTATATGAAATTGTATTTTTTGTATCCTTTTTATAACCTTGGAAATTTTGGTTAAAAATCTAGTTTCTGGCATCAAAAAATTAAATTTATATGGGAAATTTGAGTTTCTTTTTACAGTGAAAAATAAGGAGTAGCCAGCCATTATGTATGTATGTATGTATGTATATATATATATATATATATATACATACATACATATCTATCTATCTATCTATCTATATATATATATATATTATGTATGTATGTATGTATAGTTAAATTCCCAGATCAATTCTGTGAACAAGACAGATTGGTATAAAATGACAAGAACCTTTTTTTCTGGTTAATGCAAATTACCTTTACATAACCTAAAAAAAAAAAAAAAAACCTTACTATAAAGGTAATTTATATTAACTAGAAAAAAAGCTTAGACAGAAGTATCTATTTATTTAAAAGATTTTTAAAACTATAACAAAAAAAACATTTTGATTTCATTTTGCCTTTGAAAATCCGGAAGATAAACAAAGCAAAATCTAAAATTTTTTTTTTCCAATTGTCAATATGATATTTTTTATGTATGAAAAGAATTTTATCCACACCAACTAAATAGTATTCTTAAAACGAGGTTATTTTTTTAATCAAAAAGTTGTCCGACTCTGTGTAGGTAGAGGGAGCTGAAACATAAACTGGCACTCATCGGTGAGTATTTGTTTTGTTCTGGACAATTTTAAATCTCTTTTAGACTCTATTGCAAGGAGGTTTGTTTCCTTTCAGTACTTACTCTTATTTACAATGAATTTCCTTCTGATGAAGCGTTGAACGAAAGGTACCTTTCTTTTGATACTTTTTTTATTAATTTGTGTATAAACTGACTTCCTGTATAGAGTGACCCAAAATATGTGTTTTTGCATGAATTTTAACCCCTCTAGAAAAAAATTTACCTGTGTATAGTGCAACTTAGTCACCAAAATTGCATGATTTTTAACCTGTTCAGAAAAATTACCTGTGTATAATGCGACCCCTCTATTTTTTGCATAAATCTTCTTTTTTTTTTTTTTTTTAATCATTTCACCCCAATCAAGGCTAGAATGCCACTAATATGCAGGGGGTTACAGAGAGTGAAAATGAGAGAAAAGATTGGAAAAGAGAAAAAAAGTATAGAGAAAATTGGAGAAGGGATAAAAGATGAACAGGGTTCAAGAAGGTAGAAGATGTTGAATTTTTTTTGAAGATTGTAGTTATCAGGGAAGCAAGTAAATGGAAGGGAATTCCACAGGCGGGAAGTGCGAGAAAAGAAACTGTTGGAGTAGAAGTGGCAGTTACATTTAGCTATTTCAACAGCAAAAGGGAAAACTGATCATAAAAACTCACACTGTACTCAAGTATAAAGAAAATGTGGTCTGTGGCAGGGTTCAGCTGCAGTCAACTAAAGCCAAATAATTCTGTAAGACCTTAGGGATCGATTTTACACTATTAATTTTATGAATAGGAACTTCTCCTTCTGAAATAATAAAAAAAAAACAATATTTTTTTATTCTGACAAATGTCTTCGCTTGAGCAATGTCTAAACAAAGCTAATCTGCAAAAATTATTACCCCAAAACTTTTTCTCTATTTTTTATGAGAGGACCAGTTTTCTTAAGTAGTGCCAAAGGCTTAAAATATATTGCTGAATGCATGTTTTTTTATTTTATTAATGATGGTTAGGTCATTAAGTGTTAAAGTTATGCATACTCAGAAAACAAAAAAAAAATGATTGGGTTTGGTTTGTTTTACAGCATATAAACACATTGGGACATTCAATACCGAAATTTAATTTTATTGGCAGCATTAGTAACTTCTTTTACAAAAAATGTATTGCTGCTAACTTTTTTTTTTTACAAAAATGTAATGCTGGTAATTTTTATTACTATGAAATTACTGATATTTTTACTATAAAAATTTTAATACTTTCATAGTGTTTTGACCCCAGTTTAGAGCTTAACTGTTTGTCCATAGCGGGGACCCTAACAGATGCTACCACCCTGAGAACAACAGCAATTAAGAAGTGGTTCCATGCTTCTCAAAATCTACCGATCAGAGGCCTTGCTGTCGGATGTAGTTTATCGTCATACTCAGGACGAGAAGTGATTGGGGATATGGAGGCTAAAATAAAGAGTAAACCTTAAAGTTAAATATATAATGAAAATTAAAAGTTCTTTTTTCACAAAATTCATCTTTTTATAAAAATTTACTTCTTGATCTTTAAAACAATCATTCTTTCAATAACACTTAAATTGTAATTAATTTTCTGCTTTTAAAGCCTCATTGAAATTAATTTAAAATTTTTTCTGCTTTTAAAACCTCACCGAAATTAATTTAAAATTTTAACTGCTTTTAATGCCTCACTGAAATTAATAATTTTTCTGCTTTTAGAGCCTCACTGAAATTAATTTAAAATTTTAACTACTTTTAATGCTTCACTGAAATTAATTATAATTTTTCTGCTTTTAGAGCCTCACTGAAATTAATTTAAAATTCTTTTCTGCTTTTAGAGCCTCCCTGAAATTAATTTAAAATTTTTTCTGCTTTTCAAGCCACACTGAAATTAGTCTAAACTTTTTTTTCAATTTAAAAATTTTAACTGCTTTTAAAGCCTCATTGAAATCAATTTTAAATTTTTGTTTGACTCTTCTATTGTTAGCAGATAAGCTTCTCACTGAAGAAAAATTCTGTTTTACGAAAGGAATACTGCTACAATAGACAGTCATTGCAGATCAAAAGGAATCCTTAGGTGATAAATTGATCCGTTTGCTGCAGCTGCAGAATCTGTGTGCATCTCTTCATCTCTTCGTACTCATGATTCTACAAAGAAGAAAAAAGAAATTCAATATATAATCTTCATTTCAATCAAGTCACATTGATATACAGATAATTCTTTTCATCACAACTAACTCATGGTTAACACAGAATTCAAAAAGAAGAAAATTGCAAAAACTCTTAACTCTGAGCATATACAAGCACAGATATAAAGAGATGGGCATTGATCATTTAAGCATTGCATACAACATCTCAAACAAATCTACCAATAGAAGACTTTCCCTCCCAAGGCCAATGTACTAATGACGAAGTGAGATGCTGAAGAGGTAGATATTCATAGTTGGGATAAGAATGAACTTGAACAAAAAGCCAATATCCTGTACCATGTGTTCCCAGATATAAGACTCAAGGTTTTTTATGTGCCATGTCCTTTCAGGATGTAGGCAATCATGGCCCTCCACATCTTTTTGCCCCTAGTTGTTCTTAATAAGATTTGTCTTTTTATTATTTCTCCTAAACCTTGTTCTGCCATCCATTTGCTCAGCCCATCAAGTATGTTATGCACTGTTTTCCTCTTTCCCTCAATATGTCCCATGAGTATCAGATTTTCCAAACCCTCTTTCCTCATTACGCGCCCCAGAAATTTCAAGTACGTCTTCCTGATGTAAGTATAAGTTTCCTTTTTGTTTCCATTCTCTCCAAAACTTTGTTGTTGCTCACATATTTATTTCTAAAACAGAAACTAAGATCTGGAATAGGAACAAAAACAATGATGGCACGTACCTTGAATTCATCATAAAAATTCAAGACGTGGAATTAGCAAATGCTAAACACTTCCCAATGTTATTGGCCCTGACCTGGCATCTCAGCTTCAGTCACTTTCCTGCCACTATAAAGTAGCTTCCCTGTGCCTTTTCTATAAATACTTTCATGGTAATTGTTCTGGTGAACTTTCGTCTATGGTACCTAGACATTATGAATTTAAGCACAGTACTAGATTGGCGGGAAGATCTCATTCTTTTACAGTTCAAATGACTAGATGTAACCGTAAGTTCTATGCTAACAGTTTCTTCTGTCACACTTCTCGCTTGTGGAACTCTCTTCTGGCTTGCTTCCCAGTCAACTTTGATTTTTAAAAATTTAAATGCAATGTTAATCGTTATCTTCTGTCTTCTTAATTCTTGTTCCTTTATTGTTCTCTCTCCTCAATAGAGCTTTCTTTCTTATATTCTCTAACAGTCAATGACCCCACCACCACATCTTAGTAACTTTATTGCCTTGCTTGGGGTGAAATGATTAAAAAAAAAAAATTGCAGTTGCAAAGTGACCAAAATTTTCATGGTAATTGTTCTGCAGAACTTTTCTCTATGGTACCTAGACTTTATGAATTTAAGCGCAGTACTAGATTGGCAACTCGGTCTCATTATTTTCCAATAGAAATGGCTAGATGTAATTAACTGTAAGTTCTATGCTAACGGTTTCTTTTATCACACTTCTCACTAGTGGAACTCTCTCCCGGCCTCTTACTTCCCACTCAACTTTGATCTTCAAAAATTTAAATGCAATGTTAGTCATTATTTCTTGTCTTCTTAATTCCTGTTCTTTTATTGTTCTCTCTCCATAATAGTATATTTCCTCATATTCACTAACACTCAGTAACCACTTGCATCTTAGTAGCTTTATTGCCTTGCTTGAGGTGAAATGATTTTTCTGTCAGAAATACAAAATTAAATTCAGACATGACTTAAGCTATAGAACATTAAAGTATTTTATTTTTCAGGCCAAAAGATGTTTTTAGAATTCATTCTACTTCATGAAAATTTCTTTTGACTTAAAATTGGATGAATTTCTCTGAACCTTGTCAAATTACTTCCTGGTCATTTCAAAGAGAACCAACAGAAGGTGGTTGTATCTACATTATTATGCTTTTCATTAAACGAAAATGCACAGCCCACAAGAATATGTCCTGAATTGTCGACTTTCCCACACTTTTTGCATGAATTCCAAGTCTAAATGCAATGTCAATCATTATCGTCTGTCTTCTTAATTATTGTTCTTTTATTGTTCTCTCTCCTTAATAGCATTTTTTCCTCATATTCTCTAACACTTAGTAACCCCTTGTGTCTTAGTGGCATTATTACCTTACTTAGGGTGATATCATTGTAAAAAGAAAACACTTCCAGTTTAACTATGATTTTCTTAGTTTTGAAACAAGACAACAAACAATAGGGTGAGTCATTGCCATTATCTCCTCAAGCTGCCTGTGTCAGAAAGTCCCTGTATTCAAAGAAAAAGCAGATTTATTCCATTGGTCACTTAGCTAAATGTCCATCAATGCAATATTCTTCTCTAGAAATAAAAAGAAAAAGCAAAAAATAACTGTCAATCAAATGACTGGGAACTGATTTCAGAACATTGTATTTTCTCAACTGAACAGAGTTCAAGCCCTTGGAAATACAGCATGTTGATGGGAAGGTTCCAAAATAATCCAATCTGTTCTCAACAGTCTTTATTAGACAATAAGATTTATTAAATTCCTGACCTTTGGTTATGCTGTTGCTTGGCAAAGTCTGCCCCACCATTAATCAAAAATAAGTAAGCACCTTGTTTAAAAGTTGTTAGGTGTTAGCTTATATTTACAGATAATAAATTGATACATTGTAAAACAGAGCAAACTTTACATTAGAAGTAAGAGTCTATCATATAGAATGTATACAATGCCCTCAAAAACACATTGTCAAAAAATTCTGAAATTTAAAGAAGAGAATATATGAACATAAAAGGTGCGTAACATTTAGCAATACATTTAATACACTTATTTTTTTTCTCTTTTATTTTAATCATTTCACCCCCAAGCAAGGCAATAAAGCCACTAAGACACAGGGAATTACTGAGTGTGAAAGAATAAGAAAAAAGAGACATATTTAATAATAAAAGAACAATAAAAGAGCAGGATCTGTCTATTTTTCTGAGATGAGGTATTATGTACACTATTTACATTATTCAGACTATCATCCTCATCTTTGTCGCCATGTTTATCACAATGTTTTGGCTACTGTACACTCCAGCCTTCTTTAGGTGGTTGGAATGTCAAACTGAACCCTTTATTTTGCTCACTGGAGTAGACTGTTCTAGTTCCACATGCCATGTCTAATGGATGTCAGTTATTTCCTGTTAATTCCCCTCTCAAAGTTATCCACCGCTTTAACTTACACTCTTTGGTTCCTGTCACTGGATCTAACTAACGTCCTTATCCACTCTGTCATGTGTCCTTGAGGACATCTGTGTATGAATTTCTGGGTATTATAAACCTAATGTCTTCAGCAACCATTTTTTACCAGGAAATAACTGACATCCATTAGACATGGCACGTGGAACTAGAACAGTCTACCCCAGTGAGCTAAATAAAGGGTTCAGTTTGACATTCCAACCACCTGAAGAAGGCTGGAGTGTACAATGGCCAAAACATTGTGATAAACATGGTGACAAAGATGAGGACAATAGTCTGAATAATGTAAATAGTGTAAAAGAACGGGAATTAAGAAGACAGAAATAACAATTGACATTGTATTTAGATTTTTGGAAACCAGAGTTTAGAAAGCAAGAAGCCAGAAAAGTTCCACACGTGAGAGGTGTGAGAGAAGAAACTGTTAGCATAAAATTTATGGTTAAATCTAGACAAATCGTCTGTAAAATGATGAGACCTAATTGTCAATCTAGTACTGCACTTAAATTCATAAAGTCTAGCTACCATAGAGGAAAGTTCATTGGAACAGTTACCGTGAAAGTATTTATAGAAAATGCATTGGAAAGCTACATTATGGCAGTGGGAAAATAACTAAAGCTGAGATGAACCAATGACATTGAAAATTCTTCTTTGGATTTTATCAAGAATCTCTAAATATATAGCAGGAGCACAAGACCATATGTGGCAGCAAAATTCAAAGAATGGACAAACAGTAGATTGATAAATACATAAAATAGATTCTGGAGATAAAAATCGTTTAACATGACACGGTGAATCAGCTTTGACAATTTTGATCTAGGAAATGCCATTTTAAAGGATAAATGACAATTTATGCACTCACCTTCCAAGCTATCATCATTCCATCAACGCTACAAGTCACTAAACCATCATTCCCAAAATCAAGAAACATCTGGAAAAAAAAAACAGTAAATAGATGCAGTTGGAGTTAAGAATTTACAGATTAAAAACCAAGAAGTGACCTTAAATGGCAGAAAGCAAAGAACACAATTTTTATTTTTATTTGTTGAATTAAATTTGGAAGTGCTTCACAAGAATAACTTTGGTCTGCATCTTTTTAATCTGGAAGTGAATCAGGCAGAAATTCAAGAGGATCTGCCACTAGAGATGAATGTACTCTTAGGGCTGTAATAATCATACACTCACTTCCCTCCCTCTTATTATCATATATATATATATATATATATCCACGTAAGATGAGAATGAATAGAGTACAATTCCAACGTTTGCAACATTTAATTTAAAAGAGGGCTCAATACTAATAAGAATTATTACCATATTAATTTAACAAGTAATTCTATATGTTTAAATTATTTACTAGTTTCTTAAAGAAGCTGTTTATTTATCAACTATAAAAAAAATTTATGTGGGAAATTCCCAAAGCATATAACTTGTTTAGCATTTTGTTAAATTACCTCTCCAACCCATTTTTATTTCTTGGGAAATGACATTGTCTAGTTTGTATAATTTTTGTAACCATTTGCATCTGCTCGAGCTTATGTCTGGCTGCTGTTAGCTGCCAATCTACGAGTCATGACCCATTTATAAAAAATAATTTTTTAATTTTTGCTTCTTCACTTAGTTTAAATTTAAAATTGATCAACCAATCAAATATGACCTAAGCCCACAAACCTTATACCCCACTCCATTTTTCTTTTTTTCATAAAAAGAGGTTGTATTTTGCTTTTAAATCTAAATAAATCATTCACTCACTCACCTGTAATTTATAATTGGCTAATGAGATGCATTGATATGCATTGAAACATGACTGCAATTGTGTAGCGATTTTCACGTTTTTGGTGTAATATCCTAATATATATATATATATATGAATGAAGAAATATGGTTTTAAGGTGTACTATATTTATGGGATAAAGTTCTCGATATCAGAGATATAGCATATGTAAATATAAAAGTGAACATTGAAGTGTACACTCAGAGGCGACAGGCTGTTTCATGCTAGATGCAATCATAAGACCGCGAGTATTCTCGCAGCCTGACGATTGTGTTTAGCATGAAACAGCCTGTCGGCTCTGAGTGTTGACTTCAATGTTCATATATATATATATATATATATATACAGGGTGGCAATAAAGTCACAACACAGTTACTTATAATAAAAAAGCAAAGCAATGAAGCAGGTGGCTTGCAGTTTGAACAGTATTTATAATTAATTTGCTATTGTTTCCCATAGCATTTTATTGTTATTAACCAGGATTAACCAGAACATTTTAATAAATTTCTGAACTATTGATTAATTGCTTTGTCTTAATTAATATTTTAAGTAACAGTATACTGACTTTGTTGCCACCCTAGATATAGGGAGTGTCAAAAATACTTTTACAAACTTTGGGAACAGGTTCCTCACACCAAAGCATGAACAAAAGTTCATATAAACATATGTCTGCAAATTCTTTATTTTTGAGTTATTTAATTTAAATAAAGTTTATGGTAAATGGTGCTGTGTTACCATGCAGACATGGTTACATTTGTTATTTGCATAGATTTCTGTCTAGTCCATCTTCATCTAAAAAGAATTCCGTTTACCAATGGCAGGATATTCATATTGAGAGCAGGCAGATATGGTAATGTATGCGACGCTGTACAGCTGTATGAGATGGTGTTTCCAAACTAAAGGCAGCCAAGTCATTCAACCATTGCTGCTGTTTATCGTGTTGCTAAGATAGGATCTGTGGCACCACAAACGATGGATCGAAGAAGACAGATATCCACTTGTATGCCCAATCATGAAGGATACATTCTACAGGCCGTCAGAGACAATCCAGGTATCAGCACAGATCAAGTAGCCCTAGCATTTTGTACATCTCATAGTACCGCATGGATGGTACTTCAAGAGCAGTTCCATATCATTTGCAATGTGTGCAGGGTCTTTCACCCTCTGATCACTCACCACGAGAGAACTTTTGCTGATGGTTTATTGTACAAACTGCTGATCTGTTGTTCATCTCTTCAGTTTTATTTAAGGATGAGGCAACACTTGGAAAAGATGGAATAACTAATTTACAAAACCAACATTTGTGGTTGGATCAAAATCCCCATCATACAATACAGGCTAGACACCAGTATCAGTTTATGATTAATGTGGGGGCTGGAATTGTAAGTGACTGTCTGGTAGGTCCATATGTTCTCCCAGCACATCTTACAGGATCTGACTACAGGGAATTTATTTCGAACACACTTCCAGACCTGCTAGAGGATGTACTCCTGCTAATATGAAGATGCATGTGGCTTATGCATGATGCAACTCCAGCACATTTTAGTCACACTGTTCGTGATACACTGGCTGACATCTTCCATGAAAGATAGATAGGTAGGGAAGGACCAGTTCCATGGCCCGCACGTTCTCTTGACCTCAATCCTTTGGATTTTTATCAGTGAGGCCACCTAAAACAATTAGTTTATGCACCAGACATTAATAATGCAGAGACATTTCATCAATGTGTCATGGTGGCCTGTGAAACCATTTGACACTGTATGGGAGTACTTGTAAGGGTGCAATTAGTCAATGATCTGATGGGTGCATGTGTGTGTAGAAGCAAGCGGAGGATATTTTGAACATTTGCTATGAGTTGCTGTGTTGAGGTACAATGATGAACTTTTGGACATATGCTTCTGTGGACATTTGACCTTGTTTTGGTGTCAGGAACCCACCCACAAAATTTGTAAAAGTATTTTTGGATTGTACATTTAACAGCACCTACAATAAACTTTAAACCTAATAACTGAAAAATGAAGGATTTGTAGGCATTATGTTTATATGGACTTGTGTCCTTTTTTTTTTTTTCGGTACTGATAGATAATTTCATTAATCAGTTAAACATTATAATGTTTAGAAGTAGTTTTTAAGTTATAGAATTTTAGAGAAGATAGTTAACAAAACAAAACGGAAAACTGTTAGAATAAGGCACCAAATCTTGTTTGGCAAACAACATAGTGTGTTTTAGTTTAAGAATGTTTAATTACCTCCTTCATTATCCACTGAAGCTGCTATTCATCCAATAACCCCCCGCCAAAAAATAAAGTAGCCAATCCCCCTGTGGACCATTTAAAAATTCAGTCTGTGCATCGGATTTGTTGTTAAGACAACTCAATTCAGTGCATGGAAAACATGATATACTTCCATCCATTTAAAGGCCAGAATCTCTGTTAGCGTTTGATTTGGGAGGGGGGAAACAGTGTCTTGGTGATGGGGTGTATGATGTTGAAAGATCCAAAACTCTCTGATGAACCAAGTCAATTTACATTACTAACGATTCCCTCTGGTGCCCTGTTTAAGAGTGTATATTCAAAAAAAAAAAAAATTGGTGTGAGGAACATTCCCCCAATGTCTATAAAAGTATTTTTGATACACCATATATATATATATATATATATATATATATATATATATATATATATATATATATATATATAAAAAGTTTGTGTATTTAGGCACAATCCTTCTTTCATGCACATTTCATTGAATATGACAGACAAGGTGCTTTGATTTAGTTTTTTTTATACAATTTCTCATGTGATCTAAAATTTTTTCTTTTTGGATGATAAATTATATAAAAACTGTCCAAGTTCTATTTATAGCACTTTATATATATACCATTTCAAGGTTGAAATAGTTTGTTGCATGTATATATTTATATAACATTTTCATTTTCAAAACATGGTAAAGATATTGTGTCCATGTTCACAGTTGATATTGGAGTTCTGTTTTTGTTCTTATTAACAAATCTTCCATTTATATTATATTTATTTATTTAGGCAATTTTTCATTGATAATAATAATCATTAAAAGGAAAATTTTTTTCTTTTGGATACATATTTTTATAATAAAAAATATGTATCAATACTGTAATTTTTTCTCCTTTTATGATAATGTTATTTACTTATCAGACAATATGAAAAAATTTTAAATTAACTAGACAAAACTTGTCTAGTTTTTAATGAAACATGCATATATATATATATATATATATATATATATATATAATTTTTCAAATTTAGGTAATCTGTATTGTGTCCTGAGGGAGGATGATATCATTGAGTCAATTAAAATTCAGAGCAGATATGTTTGAATAAATTAAGACCACATTAGATTCCATGTAATAATATATTTATAATAACAGGGTTCTGGATATATATACTTCCAAAAAGCTGTAAAGAATGAAAAAGAAAATTCACAGGTTTTCGGACCTTGATTTAATAATCTTTTAAGGTGGGAAAGAACATGTCAATATTGATTTTTATATTTTATTAATGTGTGCTGGATTTGCTTTCTAAGCGTCTTTAATTATAAAATGGTTATTTGGGTGATAAAGGCTACATTGACAATACAGCCCCCAAAAAATACCCATAAATTTCATTCAAATTCCTTGTCTATATTATTTAATGAGTGCATATTCAATATGATAAATATCTAAAATTTTAAATATATATATAAAAGAAATTAATTTAGTGGTTCCATTGAGTTTTTAAGTATTTATATTAAAAGAATTGGAAAGATCTATAGGCAAACGTTTTTGAAAATAATGTGGGTTTTTTAAAAATTTTTATAGCTTTTATCTTATAATTTTACTACACGAGTTTTATTTGTTTAAAGTAACATTCAGGTAAGAGTCTAGGAATTTGAATGAAAACTGTAAAATAATTTATTGGGGCTTTTTCTAATGCATCTTTCAATGTTAGCCTTTTAGCTCACCCTTGAGACTTTATCTGTTTTTGAGCGTTAATTAATCCAACATCTTTTTTTGAATTGGGGTTAAAATAGAGTTCTAAATGAAGGGTCTCTCTAAAACAATTAAGGTTGGTATTAAAGAGAAATGATGAATTCCGTAAAAACCTGTATTTTTTGCCATTTTATCTTTTATATATATATAT